CGGCTAATTGGTTGTTTTTCTGTTTCTTAACATCGATCGAGCACTTCTGATCGAACAGCTGTTCTCGTCACCTCCTCCTCCTCCTCCTCCTGTTGTTGTTGCGTCATGTTTGCTTTCAGCTCAAGGTTTAAACATTTGAATTCTTTGTGGCGTCCATGTTTGTTTTCATTCTTCATGTTTTGAGCCTTGTGTGACTACGTTTGATAACGAGGCTGTAACAGTCGTTGAAGCTCCTGAAGCAGGTGAAGCAGCATCAGAGACTTACAATCAAGCATATAATCGGGGCTCAAATATGTTAGCAACGTTTCGGTACCCAAAAGTACCAGAGTGAACCTTTAATATCAATGAGCCTCACCTTGTGTTTGAAAGGCAGACATCTCTGCAGCTTCACTTGTAAACACAGACCTGCAGACAGGTAAAAACAAAAACCCCCATAAGACAGAGAAACAGAAAGAGTCGATGAACATTCAGCACGCAGAAAAAACATCTGAATCAGAGACGATCAGCTCAGACTTCCTGCTGTCTGCTGGGAGAGTAGGAGGAACCAGTTCTGAGAAGTTTCTTTTACTTAAGTTATCTGAAGCGGTGGAAGATGCCATGATTGACAGTTCTGTTGACGAATGGCGCGAGAGGAATCTCTGGAAACGTTTAATTGTTATAAGACGGAAGGTAAACAAAACTATATTTATGGAGGAATCTACCTTTTCCTTCTTCTCAAAGTCATAACCTAAAGAGATATTATTCTGCTGTGACTTTGGGGCACGATCTCTGAGACGTAGAAAAATAAATCAACACGGCCGTCAGTATGTGACACATGTTTAAAACTCCCGACCTGCTTGCTCTTTATAAGTCCTCGTCATGGGCCGTGGGTTTTGAAAAAGCGAGTGAAAATGTCAGTAATTAAAGCCTGTAGGACTCCAGTGACAATCGTATAATGTGTGAGTCACTGCGCTGTGAGCTAGGAGGACAAAGCAGCAGAGACTGGCTGCTGCTAATGGACCTAGTTTACTGTGTGTGTGTGTGTGTGTGTGTGTGTGTGTGTGTGTGTGCATGCGTCAATGAGTTCTTTGTACGCATAAATGTTTTCTTCTTCTTCATGGTGTTGTGTAATTACAGCAGGAGTCGGACTCTGTGATCTACAAACTGAACTCGTTTTCTCTGAAAGATTTGATCGATCAGCCGTCAACAGGAACAAGCTGAAAAGTCAAACCTCGTTAAGGGAAAACAAAACAGACTGGCATTTAATAAAGGTTTTTTTTAACCAGTGATTGAAAGAAAAAGTTTAAGGATGATGACAAAAATCCTCGGTTATAGCCAAGCTTCAATCCTCTGGTGTTGAAAATTAAGCAAAATGTTGTAGTGCACAATCCTGCAGTTCCTCAAGTGTCCACTAGAGGCTCCAGTCTCAGCCTAACTTTCAGTCAACCTAACGACAGGCTAAGAGCTGGAGCTGAGGCGGGTTTTAAACCTCCTGACAAACTGTTACACCGTCCACCTGTCAATTAGGTCAGCTACACGCCTTATTGTGAATAACTCTTATCCTTCATCGAATCAAAACTGATGAGTCATCAAAACATTCACCCCCCGTACAGTGTGTGTCGATCGAGACATGAGCTAATCAGACCTATTTGTTTTTTTGAACCAGGCTGTAAACATGTTAATCTCTGCTGTAAAAACAGGCTTTTTAGAATGGGTGTGTATGTGACTTTCTGTGCTTCTGCAGGCAGCCTCTAGTGGACACTCGCGGAACTGCAGGATTTTACACTTCAGCATCGGCTTAATTTTTCAACAGCGGAGGTTGCCGCTTGTTTTTGACACACCATTGATTCTCATATGCTCTGTATTGATTTTTAAATTACAGTTAAAGTTATATTTGATATATTTTAATGATCTCTGATGAGCACATGTTCATTCCTTATGTAACCTGCACAAAAGTACAGCTATAACCTCTGATGATGAAATGCAGATTCTACTGTTGTTTGATCAGCTGAGAGACTCACCGATCAGCGTCGCCAGAGAGCAGTGAGGCACAGTGGGAGAAAACTTGATGATGATGAGGTACTCGTCATCTCCGAGCTCCTGGACCTCCACACATTTCTCCGTCACCACGTCCAGCTCCTCCAGGGTGTTGGGCTTCTCTGGGTCCCGGATCGATCGGATCACATCTGAAAGAGGAGAGAAAAACGAGATGTGGTGTTGTTTACTAGAACTAAAATGGAGTCGAAGTAGTTACAAATCGGTTTGAAGAACGCCTGAAACCATTTTTTTTAAATCACAATTTAACAGGTGCACTATGGAGTGTTAAATGTGAAAGTTGGAGAAGTGTACAGATCATGTGGTATTTGTTCATAACTCTATACACAAACTTTCCTCACAGTAACATTTCACTGTAACACTGTCTGAAGAGAAAATGCTAAGCGAGATGTTATGGTGGGGGGCCTCAACAGTGACACCATAACTCTCCTGGTAGTTTTATAGCTCCAAACAGAGATCCAGGGACCTATTTTTCCTTTGAATTAATTTTGTGTATTTAGTTCAGATAATATAGCAAGTAATTTTTCCCTTCTCCAACTTTCAAATTTCATTACCAAATCTACACAGTGCACCTTTAACTTAAAGAGGACCTATTCTCCCCCTCCTCCACCTTTTCAAACAGTCCCCTGTGGTCTAAATGAAACATCTGTGCTGTGCTTTGGTCAAAATGTAACATGAATCAAGCACCAGAGGAGGTTTGTGAACCTGTATAAACCAGCTCTCTCAGAACGCTGCGTTTTGGTGTGTGTGTCTCTTTAAATGCAATGAGTCCCCCCTGAGTTTTCCCCGATGACATCACTCCTTTACTAGCGAGAATAAAAATGCCACCTGCTCAAAAGTTTTGTTCTAGGCTGGGGGTGGAGTCCATGGGTGGAGATACCAGGGGAGGGTTTTTTTTTTTTTTTTTTTTTTACCAGAATCCCACTGTGACATCACAAGGAGAGCACATTTGAAACAGAGCATTTTTCTCTGTGTTGTAAGACTTATGCAAACCACAAACAAAGGACTGGATGGGTTTAATTCACATTTTGTGGGTCTGTAGACACTCAGGTTACCCAAATATATGTTCACAAACACTGTAGAAGTAGATTTTTCATAATATGTCCCCTTTAAATGTGAATGGTGGCTTCTTATTATAAGCTGATACTACATAAAAACTCTGAAGTTTTGATGCAGTACTCATCCGGGTATCCACAACCACACCAAACCCCATTTTTAAAAAGTCACAATTAACTTAAATTTCAATAGTGGCTTAATAATAACCTGTTACTACATAACAACTCTCTGGAGCGCTTTATTAATTATACAGCAAAAGTTCGGCGAATGAATTATTCACATATCTGCTCTTTAACGTGTCAAATGTGTAATATGTATCACCGTTTGTTTATCATGTTAGTTATCAGTGACTCTCTAAACCCTGTATGTTGTTTTGAATATTATATATTACTGAATGAGGTTTGGTTGATGAAGTTGCTTTCAAACTCGAAGTCTGAGTCGATGACAGCGTTAATGTTAAGCCTCTCAATAATATCTTATTAAAGGGTTTTAGACATTATTAGTCACAGGCCTGACTCACCGTAAACCTCTAACGCTTTCTCCTCCATCTTTTCAGTCTTCAGGACATTCCTGGCGTCCACAAGTCCGGAAAACTGTAAAACCTTGGTGACAGTTAGGGACAAAACACTGGTCACTATTTCCATGTTTTGAAAGACGCCATTGTTAAAACGTAGAATCGACTGAAGTGACTTTGACAGGAAAACACCAGACTCAGTGTGTGCGCGCGGAGAGCAGCGCGAGCAGCTTCCGCAGATCTCTAACTGTATGGAGGGAAAAAGAGCGTTCAGTGTGAGAGAGAAACTGTGTGAAGATCAGCGCTCTGTGGCAGCCTGCTCGTCTCACTTCCGCCTCTGTATTCAGGCAAAAGCAATCGATCACTAATCAAACTATGAACTTATTGGAGCCGTTTTAAACTTTCTTTTTTTTTATGCGGAAGAGGAATATGGTCACACCAGGCAGCGACCTCCAGTCTTGAAAAAATAAACCAATGCGGAAGTGGAAAATCCTGAAGTTCGTTGGGTGTCCTCTAGAGGCTGGCTCCAGGAACCCCAAAAGTCACATACACACCCATTTAAAGAAGCTTGTTTTTTGCAGCAGAAATTATCATGTTTACATCCTGATTAGTTATTGTCATCATTTTATGAAATTGTATTTCAGCTTAATTTTTGAAATTTCAACCTTTATCTCAGCATTTTGAATTAGTTCTGGACATTTTAAATTTATTTTTGAAGTGCTTATTGTCAGTGACTCTCATAATTTATTTCTCAAGCGTGGCGCTAATCCTCTTCCGTATTTTTGCGACACTGATTATTGATAATTGATTTTATTTTGAAAATGCTGGCTATGCTTGGTATGTTCATATTTGATTTCATGATCAATAAAGACAGAAAAATACATGATATCATGACATCGCATTAAAGATTCAGTAATTATGTAAACAAAAAAAAGTATAAATAAAATAGTAAATACAATTGAGGATAACTGAAATTATCGATTGATGATGAAAAAAAATCATTAAACTTTATATAAAAAGGTGGGACTTCAACAGAACACTCAGGAGATATTAAAGGGGCTATATGTAACTTATATAAATACGTGCTCGCACGTACATAAACGAGCATCATCATGGGCCGCCAAACACTGGATATTTACAGAAATAATGTTTACAGAGGAAGTAAGTGGTCATACACATGTGAAAGTCTGTGAAGGAGTCTGTGTCTGTATTCATTCTCCATCCTACAAACGACAGTCTCGGCAGGTACTGCAATTAATGAGCGATAAATACGGAGTTAAGTTATTGTTAAAAACCTATTTAAAAAAAGGTCTTACTTTCTGTTCGTCACTCGATTAAGCGGACTTGTGTGTCGTCTTCCTATTGGTCAGCCTGGGTCAGCTGACAGGGGGAAACAGGGCATGTGACCACCTGGTGTCAGCTGCTGTTGACATGACAGTTCCTGCTCTGCTGTCTTTGTACTCTTTATTTTGATGAGTGAAATTGAATGTTTTGATATTAAATGTCTCCTTAGCGAGCTGTGTAACCCTCCGCTGGATTAAATAGTCCTCAGTCTAACGCGTAAAGATGTTGGAGGCGGCTCCTCGGATGGAGAAGGACTCCATAGAGGTGTGTGTGATCCCGGAGAACCAGCACTGTGGAAAGGTCGCGGACGTCCTCAAAGCCGAGCTGGCTCCTGGGGGCTCCCTGCTCGGGTGTCTGGAGGTCCAGGGCCGGCTAGTGGTGTGGGACCCGGCCGACAGAGAGGCCCCTCCGGCCGCAGTGGACGGCTGCTACACGGAGTGAGTCCTCCTCAGTCTGCCACGTTTTTAGATTGTTTTTATTTATTCTGAACAACATCCCAGATAAATAGAGTCATTAAATGTATCGGGAAAGTATCTTACAGTGGATAAACTCCTAATTCATCAAACTCGTACTGAAGTGCAGGAAGTTTAACAACATTTTGGACACTTATAGATAATATTCATGTTTTGAAAAGACAACTTTACCGTTATTTTAATGAAAGATTATATCGAAAGTTATCAAACAAAATCCTACATAAGATAATATGCAATGCAACCTCAATAGGATGCAATGCGATGTGTTGCGTTGTGCAGCGATGCCATATTATACGATGCAATGCTGTACGATGCGATACCATAAGATACGATACAATAACATGTGATATGAGAAGTGCTCTCTCTTTCGGGAAAATATGAATGAAGATCTTTCCTTTTTTACAGCCCAGGTACTTCTCCCTTCTCCCACTGTTGATTTTTAAAATAAAGTAGTTTCCCATCAGAACTGAAACCTGTCATGATGCTGGTTTTCTTTCCAGCTTCGTCTGGGAGGAGGTGGTTGTCCACGGGCGTGGCGTCAGCAGCTTCAGACTGCTGAGTGTCGGGTCTCAGTTTGATCTGAAGCTTCTGGAGGCGGAAGCAGAACGATCGACCTCGGTCTCTCTGCTCTGTGTGTGTGAATGTCCTGCAGACCGCCTGCTGCAGACCGCCAGAGAGCACGACCACGGTGAGGACAGAGACCGCTGTCATCAGGGTCGGACCACATACAGAAATAGATGACTGACCCTTTCTATGCAAGATTTATTTATAGATATTCTAACACTGACTTTGTCTCCATGTTCAGGTGTGTGTGAGCTGCAGTCGGTGCAGATTTTGTCGTTTGCTGCGGGTCGCTGCTGCCTGCTGCTGAACTCTGATTGGCTGCTGCAGCTGCAGTGTCATCAGACGGAGGAGGAGCTGCAGACGTTATCCTGCTGCAGAATCCAGACAGACAGAGACGGACCCACAGCTGTCCATCACTGTGTCTGCAGAGAAACCCTGTTCATCCTGAGCAGCACGGGAATCATATGTATCCTCACTGAGCGAGTCTTAATATGATAACGTTGTTTCTACCGCTAAGACCGTATGAACGTATTTATAGTAACTAAACCTAAACCAGCCAGACGTTACCTAGACGACACAAAACTATACTGACAATAATTACATAAAAATATCTATACTTAATACAAACAAAAAGCTAAAACTGAAAGTACAACAAAATACAGACGATAATATTTTTATGGTGTGCCTTTATTTTGAAAGGACAGTGAATAGAGCAGGAAATTTAGAAGGAGCCACAGGCCGGTCTGGAACATGGGCCGCCATCTTGGAGGACTAATGGTACATTCATGTGTTGCCGGACACATTGGGACAACGAGTTTCCGAGTTATGAAATGCACTAAACGCCTGCTCTAAAAACTGAGTGACACTATGAAAGCAGCTTTGTGTCTCTCCGTCTGTGTCTGCTCTTCTTTAACTCCGTCCTCCAGCTGTGTGTGACCTCACCGATGGCCGCCTGCTGGCCACCGTCGACCTCCCGGCTTACCTGAGCTCTGGCGCTGCAGAGGACGACCTCATCTCCTCCTTCTCCTCGCTCTCCTCCTCTTCATGCTTCTGCCTACTCCAGGTGTCAGCTGATCTCAGCACAGCTGTAGCCGTCACTCAGACTCACACGGCCGTCGCCGTTGACCTCGGCCACTACTTCAGGTACAACGACAGGAACATGTGCAAGAAAAGTCTTCTTTTCTCTTCTCTCTTCTTTTTCTTCATTTTAACCTTTTTATTTCATGCACCAGTGTTTGGATGCATGAAATGGCAGCTAATCAAACAATTGAACTTCTCACTCGGTATGAATGTGGATCTTTCTGCCCACTGAGCAATTTAACTCCTGATTTAAGAGATACATCGCCTGTCTGTTTTGCCTTTTTCTGCCAGATGTATCTCTTATCTGATCTAGTGTAATTTTCTGAGAATGTTTTTTGACTCGGCTCGAGGAGAAATAAACCAATTCGCTCCACGATCGCGCATCAGATCAGAGCATTTAACCGCCTCCCACGGAGACTCATCTGAGAGTTCATCATGCTCGTTAGACCCGAGAGAGAGGAAAACAAACTTCAGTTTAATGTTTGTGTCTTCCAGGATGTATCCGGACCACCTACTGTGTCCTGCCCCCCTCTCTCGCCCTCCTCTCAGGCCCCAGCACCCCTGGGACCAGGACAGCTTGTCGAGCTCCGACTGCAGCCTCTCCGCCCTCGGATCAGACTTCAGTGCTGACCGGTAAACTTAAGACCAACACAGAGCCCCCTGGTGGCAGAATGTACACACTGTCCATTAACTGTCATATATATTATATTCTGCTTGAAGTTTGACCTCTGACCTTTAGTTTGACCTCTGACCTTTAGTTTGACCTCTCTTTTAGCTCCTGGGAGGCTCGTCTGGCCTCCATGCACAGCAGAGCCCAGCAGGTAGTAGCTCCCTCTCCCTCCTCCTCCCCCCTCCACCCTGTTGGCAGCTCCTGGTCCTCCTCCCTCCCCCACCTGAAGTCCCACCCGGCTCCGTCCTCGGGCCACAGCAGAGCGCCTCCTGGTGGGATTACGGCCGATTTATCCGTCGCCGAGTCGTCCTCTCCGTCTCTGCTGACCGTGACAGAGTTCTCTGCCCAGCTGACCTTCGTCTCACCTGGGAACAGACAGACCACAGTGGTCTTATGGGATTTAGAGTCCAGGAGTGTGAGCTACCACAAGGCGGAGGGCGAGGCGGCCCCAATCGAGCACTGTGGAGAGAGACAGCACAGACTGCTGCTGAAGAGTGAGTCGGCCACTGACACAGTCAACATCATCAGCATCTCCCGCTAACGTTTACTGCTGCAATTTAACATAAATGCTTTTTTTCGCAAAAGTGCCGCAGTGGTCATCACGTCTGCATTTAAATTTATTCTGCATGAGTGTAATATTAGTGAGGTGGTCACTTTTCATTTCGGCGTTGCAGAAGCACGGCCCAGCGGGAGCTCCACATACACACACAGTCAGTCATGCACACACACACAGCACTGCGTTCCCCCACTGGCTTAGCTGAAACTGTCTCCCCTCTGTAACGCCTCTGTTACTACCTCAGAAGGCGGTAGGACGTTTGGTCCTCCCATAACGCCTGCGGGACATTCAGGTTGAAGGCGTAACGTCACACGGGGCGTTATTAACGTGACTTGAAACGGCGCTCTGAGTAGGACTGAAGTGTTTCTTCAGCAGAGTATTTTGTTGTTGAATTGTGGATTTACTGTCTGCCATCAGTTCAGCTCCGCCCACAAAACACTACTTGACCCCACTAGGGAGGAATATCGACTATGTCGGCAGGGTGAAATAAATCTCTTTCTGTCCGTCTGTCTGCAGAGGCCGGCGTGTTCCTCGTCTTGTTCTCGGTCTCTCAGCAGGATTTGCTCAGCAGGCTGATGTTGTTCGGCAGTGCCGCAACTGTGGACGCAGTGTGTCACCTGAACAGCTGGGGGCGCTGCTCCATCCCCATCCACGCTCTGCAGGTAAGAAACAACACTCTCTCATGGTTAACGCATTAGAAAATTAGAAATGTGTTAACTCACCTGAATGTCTTCTGGTCAGGCTGGACTGAAGAACCGTCAGCTGGACACGGTGGATTTCTACCTGAAGAGTAAAGAAAACATCCTGAACCCTGCAGCCGATCAGCCAGCCACCTCCACGCTGAGCCTGACGGACTGTAAGTACACGACTGATTACTAAAGACAGTTACAGCTATTTTAGATAATAATTAGTTTGGCCAACAACCTGAACGAGTTCTACTGTCGCTTTGAAAGACAATGGGACAGCCCGGAAACCAACGACTCCACTGTCACAGCAGGGATTCAGGACCCTCAACGACTGTCCGCCACAACAGCCCTCTCTCCCCACACCCCAGCGACACCTCTTGTTGGTGTTAATAAGATCTTTAAGAGACAGAACCCCGCAAAGCAGCTGGACCAGACTCTGTCTCTCCCTCCACCCTGAAGCACTGTGCTGATCAGCTGTCTCCAGTCTTTAAAGACATTTTTAACAGCTCATTGGAGACATGACATGTGCCAGCCTGCTTCAAGTCCTCCACCATCATCCCTGTCCCCAAAAAGCCCAAGGACCACAGGACTTAATGATTTCAGACCCGTCGCCCTGACCTCTGTGGTGATGAAGTCTTTTGAGCGCCTTGTGCTCTCCCACCTCAAAGATATCACAGACCCTCTCCTGGACCCCCTGCAGTTCGCCTACAGAGCCAACAGGTCTGTGGATGACGCTGTCAACCTGGCCCTCCACCTCATCCTCAAGGATCTGGACTCAGCAGGAACCTACGCCAGGATCCTGTTTGTGGATTTCAGCTCTGCTTTCAATACAATAATCCCGGCTCTGCTCCAGGACAAGCTCTCCCAGCTGAACGTGCCTGAGTCCACCTGCAGGTGGATCACAACTTCCTGTCTGACAGGAAACAGCAGGTGAAGCTGGGGAAGAATGTCTCGGACAGCAGGACTATCAGCACTGGCTCCCCTCAAGGCTGCGTTCTTTCTCCTCTGCTCTTCTCCCTGTACACCAACAACTGTACCTCCAGTCATCAGTCTGTCAAGTCCTCAAGTTCACAGACGACACCACCCTCATTGGACTCATCTCTGGTGGGGATCACCATCTGGTGACCTGGTGCGGTGAAACAATCTAGAGCTTAATGCTCTGAAGACAGTGGAGATGGTTGTGGACTTTAGGAAAAATGCCGCCGCCCCCAGCCCCATCACCATCGATGAATCCACGGTGTCTACTGTGGAGTCTTTCCACTTCCTGGGGACCATCATCACCTAGGACCTCAAGTGGGAGCTGAACATCACCTCCCTCATCAAGAAAGGACAGCAGAGGATGTACTTCCTGCGGCAGCTGAAGAAGTTCAACCTGCCAAAGACCATGATGGTTCACTTCTACGCTGCCATCATTGAATCCATCCTCTCCTCCTCCATCACAGTCTGGTACGCTGCAGCCACAGCAACGGACAAGTGCAGGCTGCAGCACATCATCCGCTCTGCTGAGAAGGTGATTGGCTGCAACCTGCCATTTCTCCACAACCTGTACACCTCCAGGACCCTGAGGCGTGCAGGTAAGGTTGTGGCCGACCCCTCTCACCCTGCACATGGACTGTTTGAGACCCTCCCCTCTGGTAAGAGACTGCGGTCCATCAAGACCAAAACCTCTCGCCACAAGAACAGTTTCTTCCCCTCTGCTGTCAGCCTCATGAACAATGTCTCAATGTCTTGCACCTTTTGTACATTTTGTGTTTTTTATTTTTAATATTTAATATTTTTCATTTTTAAACTCTATTTTATATATTGTAATAGCTTCTTATACTGTATTATTTAAGTTGTTGCTAGTTCTGCTTTATTTCCTTGTTAATTACTTAGCACCAATGCACCAAGTCAAATTCCTTGTATGTGTAAATGTACTTGGCAATAAACCCGATTCTGATTCTGATTCTGAGTTGTCATGATAACAGATTAAATGCTCAGAGGTGTAGTCTTTGTGCAACACAGTTTTTTCAAATAACTGTAGTTTCATAGATGCTCTTGTTTAGAAATGTAATCTATGTTGTACTTCCTGTTGTGTATGAACTTCATGTTGCTAACGTGTGTGTTTCTTTGTGTGTGTGTGCAGGTGTGCAGCAGTTGTGTCCCGCGTTGGACCTCCTGTGTTCAGCCGTCAGAGATTCAAACAGCGAAGCTCAGAGCAGACAGTTCTCTGAACAGCTGCTCAACATCACATTGAGCTTCGTCAACACACAGATCCGCTCTGTCCTGTCTAACACACACTGTAAGGATTCACACACACACACACACACACACACACACACACACACTTATGTTCTAAGCATATGCTGTTTTTTAAGAAGTGGACGGAGAAGCCGACCACGTTAAGATGTCTCCAGTTTGGCATTTGGGCTTTTATGATTTTTTTCCTTTGGAGTAAGAAGTGACCATATTTGGATGAAGGGGTGGAGCTAGAGAGGAGAGAAGGGTTTGTATTTTTGTAGCCACCAGCTAAAGTGTCGAACAGTGATGCCAGTATTGTGGAGCTAAACTAATTTTAAAGGAGCAGTATGTAACTCTGACCCTAGTGTTTAAAATGGGTACTGCAGTCCAAATTCTAAACATTGTAGAGAGCTGTCTCCCCCCCACCCCCTCCTCTCTAGAGTTGATGCTCACACAGGTCACCATGTGGTGGACACTGAAGCTTCAGTGTTTATCCAGCTCTGCATCGGTCTGTAAACCTTTCTGTGTTCTAACTTCTCTCCATTTTTCAAAAGCATCTCCAATATTGATCCTAGTTTGAGCACATTTCTGCTCGTGGAGCTTATTAGAAACATACAGAGGCTTTTTAGGTCGGGTACAATCACTTCTATCTGAACCAGTTCTCTTGCCTGCTTCCATCGCTGCAACACCTGTTGGTTTGACCTGATAACTGTTCTCATATCTGGCAAACCGAGGGGTGTCCAAAACGGCCGTGTGGGGGTGTCTTAAAACCCCATACCTTCTCTGGTCCAAACAAATCCAGAGCATTCAGGACCAGAATCTAAAGTTAGAAGGAGGACATACATTAAAATCCTTTTCCAAGACTTGACCTTTAAACCCTTCAAAGGTCGTCCTCCTTAAATCTGCTCCGTTGTGTCTGCAGACGAGGACGCCGGCGTGCAGAGCTGCGTGGACATTCTGGATCGTTATGTCACAGAACTGAGGGGCTACATGAAGAGATTCCCGTGGCCTGCAGGGGGTGACACCTCCAGTACCCACTCCGCTGATCCGGCTCAGGAGGAGGCACCGAGAGACGAATGGGAGCTGCTGTCCACAGAGGTTCCATGTTTAACCTTTTGTTTTTCCTAAATATAATATCAGGATTAAATCTTGAGTATCCTCAAATGTCTCATTATGTTTCCTCTGTGTGTGTGTGTGTGTGTTGCAGGAAGTGGTCCGTGAGTCCATCCTGACCAATCAGATCCCCCGAGCCCAGGTCGCCTTGCGGAGGCACGGCCGTCCGGAGCAGCGTCTGTCAGCTCTGAAGATGGAGGGTCTACGTCAGGTGTTCTCCTGCCTGCAGCACCAAGACCTGCAGACCGCCAACACACTGCTCACCAACATGGTCAGAGCCGTCACTCAAAGACGTCGACGAGATGTTTTATAAACACGCTCGCCCTGAATGTTAAATTTAAAGGGATACTTCACCCATTTGCATTAAGCTGATAGAGAGCTGATTAGAAACCTGGTAGTATTTTTGAATGGTAGTGCATCCCGCCTCATTTTCCCCTCAGATGGGAAATCTCTGTATTTCTAAGTCTGAAAAGGAGCTTCCAGTGACGCAAAATGACGATCTTTGCGTCACTGGAAGCTGTTGCGTTAGCGTGGTGAAACTACAACGCTAGTTCCTTATATTTTCGACCACTGAAGCTACAGACCAATCACAGATCAGTGGGTGGGAACTCACTCCCAGAATCGAAACTTAACGTTCACCATATTGGTTGGAAGCTATGCTAAGAGGCTCTATGGAGAAAGCTGATAATGGCGAAAAAATATAAATATAGCAGCGAGACGGCTGCTGCCGACAGAACAGTCTTGTGTTTTGGCTGCTGCGGCCGCCGGGTGCTGGCCGCCGCGAGCCCAGCCACCGGGAGCTGGGCGCGAGAGTCCGGCCTGTCGACAGTAACTGTCTCTGCCGTGCTGTGCATTCTGGGATTTGGTGTCTTTCATCAACATGAGCCAAAAAGACACTTTCTGCCTTTTCTCGGCCAAGAAGGCACCAACTTCAAAATTGATTTCACATTTCTACTACATATATGACCCAATGTCAATACAGAGTCACGTTTCAACGGGTGAAGTATCCCTTTAATTTATTGAAATGAACATATCAGTCAATCAAACAAGGTGACAGATATGGAGATAAGAATCTGTTTAATGTCACATAAGGGTCTGTATAACTTGTACATAAATAACTATTAACTATTAAACTATCTTTTTGTGTTTTCAGGGTTTCAGTGTGAAGAAGCAGCTGCACAGTATCTGTCTCTACACCGACGACAAGCACCTCCGAGAGTTTGTGGTGAGTCCGTCACTCTCATTCATCTTTTTGATTTATTTTTTTTTCTTTGTTGCGGACAGTTTAAAGGAGTGTAGCGTAATTCATTTATTAAGATGTTATATCTTTATTTAACTTCGGATTTAGAAGGGGCACCATTTCCTGTTAAAGGAAAAAAATAACTTTAACGGTTTAAGTTAATTAATTAATCAGTCAGTTTCATATCTTGAAAGAAGTAAGTTCTGGAAATGTTAAACAAGAAAACACACAGGCAAAGTTCTGAATTTTATGTGTAAAATTTAATATAAAAGGGGTAAACAATAAGGTATAGATGAAACAGATAAAGAATATGATCATTATGATCGGGATAATGCAAATATAATGTATGACATTTTATATTTAGTAATGAGATAAGAGGCGGTATTGTTTGAATGACTTAATCAGCAAATGATCAAAAAGGGAAAAAGTTGATAAATGAATTTTGGGATTCTATTTAGATTTAAAGGAGGGCTCTGAATAGACACACTCAAGACTTAATCTTCCAACACCAGCAACCAGCACACTTACTGTGAGATGTGTTCGATTGAACTCCGCCTGCTGGTCCCACGTTTCAGTCTCTGGCAAGTGGTTCTTTTCAGGCCCAGAGAGGCTCTGATCCCAGATTAGATGCCTTGACACCTGGGTTGGAGTGTGCAGCTGGGATGGAGATTGTACGTCGATTCAGCCGCGTCTCCAAGAGGATCCAACAGGAAAAATATTAAAGAGTCTTTTGATACGTCGATTTCCAATTCAGATTAACCTGATGGCCATCTCGATGAATCCAAACTAAGGAATTGGCGTTCAAAATTGAAGAGCAAAGACTTTAGAGAAGAAAGTTCAAAAGCCTTGCTTGATCCAGAAAGAATTGATGTTTCAAAAAAAAATGTGCATTGAAAATAAAAGTTCGGCAGAGAGTCGTCTCTACGGCACAAACTTAAAAGAAGTGATTCGGACTGAAGTCCGAAGAGAAGCGAGCAAGAAGCTGAAGCTCTAGCTCTCGAAAACTTTAAACTAACTAAAAACTACAAAACTGGAGATCTGAGCTGAGTGTGAACTCTTATCAGAGAGAGGGGGGGGGGGCCCTGCAGGAGAAGGGTCACTCCCACTCTGACCGGAGGACAATTGTTTAAATTAAACCGATTTTACTCAATAAGATTAAGAATAAGAATCTAAACATATATACGTCACCATTCATTCATTTCGATATTATTTCTATCAGATCCACATTGATGTAGGTTCACGTCATATATTTAGACAAACATTTCTATCAGATTCATGTTGAGATGAAAATCACACCACCTGGGAACATCCTCAGTTAATCCCTGTAGGTGAACAAAACCATGTTATACAGTCAACATTCTTAATAAGACATATTAATAAAGTAGGAAAATAAATTGGTGTCTTTAAATAACACCTTCTATAGCTAATATCAAAGAGTATGCTTTATAACACGTCTAAATGTATAATTATGAAGGTTACATATTCATGGATATTCTAACACTAGATGGCAATAGCACTCCATGTCAAATTCCTATTAAAACTATTATAACTCTTATTCCTATTCTGAACATCAGATTTTGAGTTTAAAAAGATGATTGCAATACATTCAATGTGACAATTACAAATATCTAGATGAAGAAATACATAAATGTTCATTTGATGCAGAATTGAACGCTGTGGTTTAATCAGTCTTCCAGCAGTCTTTTCCACAGATGCTCAATTTTTACGACTTTGCAGAGACTGGTTTCGGTCATAGTTCATGTCTTTGGGGTCAATTCGTAGATAGCAGAGTGTTCTGTTTCCGCTTGGTTGTTTACTCCAGGCGTTGTAAAAGTTTATAATATCCTGTCTTCCAGAGCCTGTCTGAGAGGGAGACTTAAATCATTGATCAGTTCCTTTGTTTCTTATTAAAAGTTAACCAAGATATTAATCCACATCCTGAGTCCTGCAGGAAGAGAAGTTGTGAAACGTGGCTGCTAATATCGGCTACAGGAGGAATATGCTGTCCAGTCTATCCTGTGTAAATGTGTCTCTGAGTCATGACTGTCTACAATGAGTGAGAAGCTCGAGTCCCGCTGGCTGTGTTGTTGTTAGTGCCGTGTTTACATGGACGGGACGGCCGGCTCCTCCCCTTGAGTATAAAAGCTGTTTTAGTCAAGAACTAGAGAGAAGAAGAACATACTCACTGATTATTTGGATGTTAGTAAGAGTTTTTAGATCACGCTCATTCTGTGTCAGTTTACATGCAATATGAAGCTACGCGCTAACTAAAGAGCGCTAACATTAGCATGCTAACACAACAATGCAGGACGCAGGTGATATCAGCTCAAGCTAAGGAAGATTTCTTCCTCCGTCTGCACTTAACTCCTTGGTGTGAACGTAAGGGAAAAGCGTCTGCTAAGTGAATTGTAGAATGTGGGGTTGGAGGTGTGTCTCTGTAGGAGAGAGGAGGCTTCAGTATGGAGGAGGTGTGGCCAAACAGAAGTTTGTTTTGGTTTCATGTTGGAGCTCAAGGGCGACACCTACTGGATCAAAAACTCTCACATTCTTCCCTTAGACCTTTAAGAAGTTTTATATTTGTCAATTAACCAATCTAAGGCCAACATTACTCCATCATGAGCGGGAAAAAATGTCCTCTAGCAGGCAGAATCCTCAAACCTAAAGCAACCGGACCCATTGTGGCCGTGACTAAAAATGTGAGCTAAAGGACGAGGCAGAGAGACAGAAATGGATAAAGACAACCAGATGTGCACACAGAAATGAAGAATGACACATGATACAGCTTTATGGTTTCAATGTCAGTGATAATAGTAGAATTGTGTCAAATATTCACACTAAAAATTATCCTTTTGTTTACTACTATTAATCTATCTACCAGATAAGTATGTGTTCTTGATGTACAAGTTCCTAAGGCCTCTGATTGGTTGATTTTACAGGTGGAGGAGCTGTCAGGGCGGAGTTATTTTCCAGCAGAGGAGATGCAGAGTGTGGAGTTCATAAGAGAGATGGAGAAGTTGGGATCACTGCCTGCAACCCGCTGCTCTGCAAAAAACACAACAAACAGGTGCAGACGAAATGAATCTGACAAGATGAATCTGTTAAATGCTTTCATGTGAGGTCATGTTTATCGTCAACTTCAGACTGAAGCTGTATCCTTCTGTCACTTTCTGAATGTTAGTTTACACAACATCAGTGTTCTGGGTGCCTGAAAACGCAAAAGTTAACTGGAAATATGCCGTCAATAGTCATGAGCGAGTAGGTGGACTACAACAACAATGGCGGACTCCTGAGTTCTGTTTATGGAAGTGTCAACATTTTCCCTAAATGTTCTCTCTTTGTAGTGTAGGGTCACAACCCCACCTCATCGTCCGTCCACACAAACGTTTGTGTGTTAGCCATTTTGAATCCTCAGCGCTCACCGCCAACTACTGGCCTGTCATGTGTACTGCAGTGTTTTTAGTCTTTTTTTTTTGCAGAGCACGATGTTGCTTTGATCTGTTATTTTTCACGTTATTGAACATGAAAGATATTGTGTTTGTTCAGAGCCACTTATTTGAAAAAAAAGAACGCCACACATACGACCTGAAGATCTCCGTTTGGGAGTTCTCGCCTCCTTTGGGACAAAGTCAATCTTGCGTCACATCACTCCTCCTTCTGTCTAACCCCGCTCATATTCCCCTCCTCCATCTCTTCAGGGCAGTTCAGATGGTGTGTAGGGGGGGCAGGCAGAGGTGAGGAGGTCCTGAAGGAGCTGGTGAGACAGAGGAGGTCTGAGGAGGAGGGGGGGCTCTGGAGGAACCTCAGACTGGACTGGGTGAGAAACTGGGACCAGAGCTGTCAGACCGCCGTCCTCCTGTCCAGACTGAAACACCAAGGTGAAAACACGGCAGAGAAACTTTTCTGTTCCTTAAAAACCACGACAAAGATCTCACAGAGTCCTTTCTCTTCTTCTTCTGTGGTTTTCTTTCTTCATCAGAGCTGCCTTCCTGTGAGTCAGCCGTGTTGTGGCGTTACCTGACCGCCCTCCACGACCAGCGCCGGGTGGTCGACTGGATCCAGAACAGCAGCTCCTCCAGCGCCTCCCAGTGGCCGGAGATAACCCCGGAACTGGTTAATAATAACACGGTGTGCAGCTCGTACATGAGGGAGAACATCCTGGACCTGCTGGCCAGGTACTGCTCCTGATTCCTCCTGAAGTTAAACATCTGATACAGGTTCAAAAAGAAACGTCCAAGGTGTCCACCTGGCGTGGACACAAATGCCCAGTGTGTGCGTGCGTTCATGTCAGTGTGTGTGTTCCTCCAGGAGAGCTCTGTTCATCCCGGATGAGCTGTCTGATCTGGAGCTTCTGCTGTGGAGGCTGGCTCAGGGGGGGGGCGTGATGTCCGCCTCTCCCCCCATCCCTCACCACCGCTCCCCCCTCGGCCTGGACCTGCACAGCCTCTTCATCACCTTCTGCCTGGAGCACGGCCTGCAGTACTTGCTCTATTCCTACCTGGAGCACTACAGGTAGGTGCTGGAAACTATTAAATGTTTGCGTCTTTTCTAGTTTTTCAGCTGAGTCAGAATCCAAAAAAAAAAGAAACAACGATAAGCTGTGTAGCTGCAGATACATTCTTTGTCTGTCCTCCGCAGGTTGACGCCCAGAAACTGCCCCCTGTTGACCAATCAGAGCCTCTCTGGGAGTCAGCCGTGGTTTGAGATGCTCGTGAAGATCCAGGAGATCACCAGAGATCTGTCAGGTACCCAACGGCTGCAGCATCAGCTCATTGTTCCTGAGATCAGGTCAAAGATGTAAACTCTGTGTGTGTGTGTGTGTGTGTGTGTGTGTGTGTTGTTGTTCCAGATCCAGGTTTGGTGTTTCAGGCATCTCTAACCAGTGCTCAGGTTCTGTTACCGGGCAGCCAGGCGTCTCTGAGCAGTCTGCTGTTAGAGGGACACAGTCTGCTCGCTCTGGCTGCCGTCATGTTTGCACCTGGAGGAATCGACCAGGTAAACATCACCTCTCATCCCAGCAGATATTCTGGAAAAGAAAAACCAATTCTCTTAAGATGATACTTTGATACATTAAGAATTATGGTGCAGACATGGTGAACTAATCTACTGGAGGTTTTTTGTACCCGTTAGTCAGACTACAAAGGGAAGTTCCATGTCCTATTCATTTGAAACAGTCCTCCATCCTCCTGTGTTCAGGTGGTTGTTCAGGGTGAAAGGTTGGGCAGATCAGAGAGGACTGTTGACCCTCAGCTCCTGAAGATGGCGCTGGCCCCTCATCCCAAACTCAGAGCCGCCCTGTTCCCTGCCGGGCCCCGAGGAAACAGCCCGTCCTCTGACATCTCCGTCTACCACCTGCTGCAGGTACGCTCACACCTGACAGATATATCATCAGGGAAGTACTTCACTCACAGGAGTCAGTTAGCACCTCTCACAAATGTGCCCTCATATGTGTGTTACATGAGACGTAAAGTTTAAGGACAACTTATCAATTGGCTTGTCTTCCAGTCGCTCCATCCTCTGGACCCATCCAGGCTGTTCGGCTGGCAGGCAGCGAACACGCTCAACTCCACAGGTGAGCTTTGAAGGACACATATCCTGTAACTCCACTTGATTGCTCTTCAACCCCAACGCGGGACAGCGATATTTTCAGACTGTAGTCGTGATTTATTTGTGTTTTACGTTCACTTCTGAACTCTTTTTCAACAGACACGACAGAGCTGCCTCATTTCTCCAGCCCTCACCTGGTCAACAGGTACGCTCTGGTGGAGAATCTCGACTTCCTGTATTACCTGCGTCATGGCCGACCGTCCTTTGCGTACGCCACCTTCCTCGTGCAGCAGCTGAGCGGCTGCTGTGACGTCAAGCTTCTGTGAGTGCTGCGAGTTACAATGCAACTGTTCAGCAGAGAAGAATAAACGTTGTTTTTGTAGTTAACATCTGTAGTGTGTGTGTGTGTGTGTGTGTGTGTGTGTGTGTGTGTGTGCACGTGTGTGCGCGTGTGTGTGCGTGTGTGTGCGTGTGTGTGTGTTTGTGTGTGCGCATGAATGCATGTGTCTGTGGGTCAGGCTGAAGCAGGTGTGGCTGCAGGTGTACCAGTTGGCCCTGCAGTGTTTCGATGTCCCGTCTGTGGCGTCTGCGTGCGTTTGTTTCTGTGAGCTGCTGGGAGTCTGCAGCCTCACGATGAGGGTCGACATCAGAGCCATGAACGCCATCCTGCAGCACTGGAACCAATGCAACACACACTGTGCTGCCACGCAGCAGCTACACACTCTGGGTACACAACAATACACACAACACACACAACACACACTCTGCTGCTACACACTCTGGGTAGACACAACACACACTCTGCTGCTACACACTTTGGGTAGACACAACACACACAACACACACTCTGCTGCTACACACTCTGGGTACACACAACACACACTCTGCTACTACACACTATGGGTACACAACAACACACACTCTGCTGCTACACACTCCGAGTACATACAACACACACTGATTGTTTTTGTGTTTCTTTGTCTTAAGGTGGTAAGATGGCGGAGGCGGAGCCTGAAGCCGCAGACGAGCTGATTGGCTGCCTGGAGGCTGCAGTGACTCACATTCTGGAGCAGAAAAGCGTCGTCAGGTAATCTCATCAACACGGCTAATTTAAGATCATTCATTTCAAGAGACGGTCGGGCCAGCATCATGTATGATCTTAAATATTAACTAGTTCAGTTGCAGATTTTGAATCCAGCGATCCTTCATTTCTTAAAAGGGTGTATACAGGACTCTTTAAAATGCTGTGTGTGCGTGTGTGTATGTGTGCGTGTGTGCGCGTGTGCGTGTGTGCGTGCGTGTGTGCGTGTGTGCGTGTGTGTGTGTGTGTGCATCAGGTCATCCTACGAGGCGGCTCAGGAGTGGGCGTTACCCGTTCAGTTCTGTCAGCTCCACAGTCTGAAGCTCAGCTCGGTTTACCCCTCCCACTGCGCTGCTGACGGACAGTTCATCCACTTCCTGTTGTTTGTTCAGCTTCACAACTTCCCGCCTGAACAGGTGAAGACACACCTCCACCATCTTCACTTTAAAACTCTGTGACATATACACACGATCACACTCATGGATACACAGACACTCTGTCAGTTCATGGATGTTTAGCCTTTTTAATGCGACCATATTTGGTTCTTCCTGCAGGTGAGGTCATTAGCATCTGAGTTCGGCCCTGCCCTCCAGGCCCACCTGAGTCTGGCCTTTCAGGACCTGCAGGTGTACAGTCAGAGGAGGAGTGAGGGCTCTCAGGACCAGCTGACGGGGTTTGTGAGCGCAGAGAGGGCATCTGGGAGCTCGGAGCACCCCAGGGAGCTGTTCCAGGTCCTCCTGCAGAGCCAGGAGGAGGAGGCGCCCTACAGGTACCTGCTGCAGGAGGCGCTGGTGCAACGCTGTCCGACACTGGCTGTACTTGCTGCATGTCAACAGGTAACCACGTTTACACGCCTAACAATCCCTGCTGTTACAGAGAAAGACTTTTGGATGATGATAACTCGATGGTTTCGGTATTTAGAGGAAAAGCTGGATAAACTGGAAAATGGCCTCCAAAAAAAAGAAAGACTCTCTGAAAAGAACGGAACTCTCCTCTGTTTTTATTCCCTAAAGCCTTAAACACGATCCATGTGCTTCATATCGCTTTAAAACTTGTTTGATTGACAGGAGGCCGGGCTGCTGCCATGCATGTGCGTGTGGGTGCTGACATCGGTCGATGATGCCACAGCTGATGAAGCCACCTCCCACCTGGACGAAGCCCCGCAGCACCATGAGTGGACCCTGCATGACCTGTCAATCATCTGGAGGACTCTGCTGGGGCGGGGCCACGTCAGGCCCCTCCTACGGGGCTTCCAGCTCTTCCAGAGGGTAAAAAAATAAGAGATTAGAACCCATGAGATGTAGCGTGATCACAGAGAGACGTTTGAAGAGAGTTAAATTCAGTCCTGAAGGTGTGAACTGGGATTTAAAGGAGGACATACAGTTGATTCTCTTGTTCATATTCTGCTCTTTGATCGTCTTACAAGCCTCACACGTGGATAATAAAATAAATTATGTCATAAGAAAAGCTATGTACAGCGCTAACAATCCCTAATATTTCCATTCACTTTACGTCAACATGAAGGAAGAATTCCAGTATTTTTATTTTATTTCAAAAAATTTTGGGTTTGAATAACTAAAAGATACTACACATTTTGAAATTACTTTTTGAAGATTGCTTTTACGGTGGCTGGGAAGTGCAAAACAAAATTACACTTTTACAAAGCTATGAAACAAACTTACATCCATCTGTCCATTTTAGTCTGAGGTCCGAGGTCGGGCCGCAGTAGCACCAGGAGCAGTAAGTCAACACAGACTTCCGTCTCCCCAGCAACGTTTACCAGCTCCTCTGGGACTCTGAGGCGTTCCCTGGCCAGACAGGATATATAACCCATCCAGAGAGCTCTGGGTCTACCCCGGGGTCTCCTCCCGTTTTGGCATGCCCGGAAAACCTCCAAACAGGAGGCAATCACAAGGATCCTAATCAGATGTCGAACCACCTCAACTGCGTCCTTTGGATGTGAAGGAGCAGCAACTTTACTTCGAGTTCCCCCCTGATGTCCGAGCTCCTCCCCCTTTCTCTAAGGCTGAGCCCAGACATCCTCCAGAGGAAACTCATTTGTTTTGGTCACTACCCATAGCTCATGACCAGAGTTCATGTCTCGGCACTCATAAAAGTGTTTCTCATCTTTTGAATCTGTTTTCCAAAATGTACATTTGTCTCAAACTTTACAAAAGTGTTTCAAACTTTTGTAATTTTGTTTGCACTTCCCAGCCACTGTATGCTTCAGAAGCAGAATCCCAACAGGCTGTATGGTTACAATGTCTGCGCCCTACTTTGATCTGACTCCTCTTCTCTGCAGAGATGTGTTTACGTCTCATTTGGTTGCTGTTCCTTCAAGTCTTTCCGACCCCAAAATATGTAACACAAACAAACACAGATAAGTGGCAGGCATGATGTCCTCCTTGTCTCCCTCAGGACTGTCCTCTGGTGTTGGTGCTGATGATGTTTGAGTTGTGTTATGACTACAGAAACTTCTCTGAGGCCAAAGCCAAACTGCTGGACTTCCAGAGGACCCTCATCGCTGTAAGTCCCGCCCTCTGGCTCTGTGCAGAGATGCAGTATCTTATACACTCATAATTAGCCTGCAGGGACCTTAAAGCTGCAGTATTATCCAGTGATAACACAGTTTAACTTTATTATCCTCGTCGTACTCAGCTCAGAAACGCCGGCCCAGCGACCTCTGGTGAACTCCCGCTGCAGTGGGTGGAAAGTCAGGCCTCGGTGCTGCTCCTCACCATGCTGCAGCACTGCTCCTCCCAGTACGACCTCCACAGGCTGCTGCAGCTCCTCGCCGACGTCGACAAACTCCTCAAATCCAATGGTGAGAGCTACAATTCTACAATTCTACAATTCGCTTAGCAGATGCTTTTATCCAAAGCGACGTACATCAGAGAGTAAGTACAACACAAGCAAGGAGAGAGAAAAAAAGGGAAATATGTCAGTAAGAGCAAACGATCAGCTTTGAGTCCGATTGGACACACATGTGCTGACAGGCATTTCTTGAGAGCTCTAATCAGTATAGAAACCATCTTATAAGTCGTCGTTATCAAACAAAAACCATCATCATCATCAATAATATTGAGACCATCATCATTAAGTTAGTAGGTGTTCATAAAGAGCTGGGTCTTTAGCTTTTTCTTAAAGGTGCAGAGGGACTCTGAAGATCGAATGGAGTTTGGAAGTTCATTCCACCACCGGGGGGCGACAGAGGAGAAGAGTCAGAGACTTAGGCCCGTTTTGTGAAGGTTGGATCAGACGCCTTTCATTGGCAGAGCACGTAGTGGGCGGGAGGGAGTGTAGACCACCTGTAGATCTGAGAGTCCGTCACCTCGTGATCTGTCAGATTAGGCCAGAATGTTCAGGTTTGATTAACAAAATGGTCAACGTTTTATTTTCCTTACGGGGCTCCTCCTGATCTCTGGTTTGTGTTTTCAGAGGATACTACACAAGACTTGTAAAAACCTCCATTTCTTGCTGACTCGGGACAGGTGCACAGGTTGATTTAGTTTAGATTTGTCACTCAGTTGTGTTTGTATCTGCTGTGTTTGTGTTCAGGTCCAGACTTCAGGAAGCTGAGTCAGCTGAGTCAGCTCCTTCAGGGCTCAGAGGTCAGCGTGTCTCTGCGGCTGCTGCAGTGCAGTTCTCCTTCCGTCCAGCAGGAGGAGTTCCAGGCTGCAGTGGATGCTCTGCAGGCCAGGGGGCGCTACAGCCAGGCCCGTCAGGTCGCCCTGCTAGCCGGACTGGCCGTCCACCGCCTGCTGCTCAGCCAGGTCTGAATTTAAAAAGAAAAATGCATTTCCACTCGATTGTGTGCCTTGTTGTTGACATTTCTGTCTCCGATGCAGCTCCTCCAGGAGGTGAGCTCCCAGAAGTCCAAGCGGCAGTGGAGACGTTTGGACACTCGAGTCAGTTTCTGGAGGAGATGTAACGATCAGCTGAAGGCGGACAGCACTGATCCTGAATCAGCCTCTCAGTTCTTCCTGTCTCAGGCGGAAACTGACCCTGCAGACTCGTCCGAGGCTCAGAGCGAGCTGCTGGACGTCCAGGAGCGCTGCCTGCTGCTCTGCCTCGCCGCGCACTGGCTCTCTCTGCTCCGCCCACTTCCTGTGGACAGACTGAAGGCTCTGGAGAAGAAGCTGTGGGTGAGCCAGGTCAGACGACGCGTCCTCTCCGTCACCATCGAGAAGGAGAGCGTCTTCAACCTGCCGCCGCCCGCCATCACGCCTGAAATGAACACGTACGTGGTGCTCATGAAGGAGATCTCCTTCTCCAACATCTCAGGTCTGAACACGGAGGAGTGTCTGAGCGTGGACGGACTCCCTGGACCTCCTGACGAGCAGGAGGAGCTGAACGTCGACCAGGCGCTGAGTCCAGAGGAGAGGAAGGTTCTGGCTGCTCTGATTGGTCAGTTATTAGATGAAGGAAGTATCCATGAAGCCAGCCGGGTCTGCCGCTACTTCTCCCTGCATCACCCGGACATGTGGGTGGTGCTGCGCTGCCGGGGTCTAGCCTCGGGAGAACCGAACCCTGAAGCACCAGAGGAGGCGTCGGAGGCTCCGCCCAAGAAGAGCATCACCAGCTGTAAGATTCACCCTGACCTCTAGTTTATACAAAGATATATTAAACACCACCTCACTGATACTCCAGGTGGTTTAGAAACTTTTCAATTGACCTCCATGCTACATGCTAAGCTACATGTCTCTCTCTTTCTCTCCTCCAGCTGCCTCCATCAACAGCCTCTCCTCCTTTGTCGTGGTCCCACTCCCCGAGGACGAGGTGGTCGTCCAGCTCCAGAAGCTCGTTGATCAGTGTCGACATGGAAAACACTACTGTAAACAAGTCCTCAACCTCTACCAGCTGTCCAAGGTATGGACAGTGTTCAAAGAAGGAATCGGATCGCTTTATGACTGAATTGTAAATGTCTCCTGCAGCCTCGAGCTTACGAGCGAATCACAGCAGTGCTGATATTTAATACATCACTCCCTCTGGTGTGATATCTCTGAATTCAAACACCAAAGTCACCATATTCCAAGGAAGTCTTATGATGATGTCTGGAGGCAGAAATTAGCATTTTTCTAATCAAGGCTTATGATGCAGCTGTTAGAGGTTAAAGGTACCTTAGCCTTTAATATCCTGTGACTCCTCCTACTTTCTGCCATATGGTGAATGTCCATCGTGAAGAGGTCGACGTCTGAAACACCAGAATCCTCCTTTAAAGTGTCTTGTGTTGCGTTGTGTGTCTGTGTTTCTTCCAGGAGCTGCAGTGCTCGTTCGGTCAGATCTGTGGGGAAGAACCTCGCTCGGTGCTGGAGAAGCTGCTGCTTTCGGAGCAGCCCGAGCGTTTCAGGAAGGCTCAGGCCTTCATCAGAGCTCAGGGTCTGTCTGCGTACTCTGTGGCCCAGCTCGTCTCCTCCGCTGTGGTGCAGGCGCTGCTGGCCTCCACGCAGGAGCTGCAGCCAGGTGAGAACAGGACACCTGCAGGCCGCAAATGTTACTTATTATTTAACTACACCAGTGAGGTTAGAACCCCACTGTTTCCACGACTTGGAGAGTCAATAAAAACAATTTGTGTGTGTGTGTGTGTGTGTGTGTGTGTGTGTGTGTGTGTGTGTGTGTGTGTGTGTGTGTGTGTGTGTGTGTGTGTGTGTGTGTGTGTGTGTGTGTGTGTGTGTGTGTGTGTGTGTGTGTGTGTGTGTGTGTGTGTGTGTGTGTGTGTGTGTGTGTGTGTGTGTGTGTGTGTGTGTGTGTGTGTGTGTGTGTGTGTGTGTCAGCAGAGAGGCAGGTTTTCCGGCCCGCAGAGGGGCGGGACTCTCTGGTCCAGCTCATCAAACTGTGTGAAGATCCAAACCTGGTGGGGCTCAAACTGCTGGAGAACCTCAACAGTGTTCCTCTGAGAGACTTCAACTGCAGTACGACACACAAACGCATACATGCATACACACACACACACACACACACACAAATTGTTTTTATTGACTCTCCTCTGTTTCCACAAGTCGTGGAGCTGCTGATCGTGGCTCACGACTGTTTCAGTCTCACCTGTAACATGGAGGGGATCGTCAGAGTTCTGCAAGCTGCCCGTCACCTCAGCCACACCCACCTCTCCCCCGGGGAGCACTACAGCCTGCTGGTAAGCCCCGCCCCCTCACACAAACCTTCATTCTTCATCAAAGTGTTTCTCTGAATCTGTTTGTTTTGTAAATAATTTGTGTGCGTGTGTGTGTGTGTGTGTGTGTCGTACATGCCCAGGTGCGTCTGCTGACAGGTATCGGCAGGTACAATGAAATGACTTACATCTTCGACCTGCTGCATCAGAACCATCGCTTCGAGATGCTGCTGAGAAAGAAAGTGGACACGGACAGAGGACAGGTGGACACACACACACACACACACACACACACATACAAATGTATTTCATAGATGAAGCCAACGTAGGGCTGTCAACTTTAGGGCCCGTGTCCTCAGACAACAGCGCCCACAACCTCCAGTTCAGAGTACTTCTCACCAGCGCTCACTGTTGCTAGGTAACAAAAGTGAACTTCTACTCCCCTCGGCCATGTGACGATGTCAGAACATGACTCACCTGACTCATCCGGAAACTGCTCCCTCCAAAAGACGAGTCAGACTCGAAATGTCTCCATTGCCATTGTTGTTGCAAAAAGCTGAAGTATCAGAAGTCCCATTGGTCGGTGAGGGAGATGTGACATTGACGAGCGTGGTGTTGTTTTAACTGAGAGCGCTGTGAGCTCAGCGACAAAAAAAAACAGCTGAGGTCAAGGGTGTTTTAGCCCTCAGGACGGGAACTCTAACGTTTGAAATTCAGTGATTAATCCCGATCCAAACATTTGAATTGTTTGATGTCTAAAAATAAAAAAACTCAAACTATGCTTTAATGTTTATTATAAGTCAACCATTAACCTGATCTTGATCTTGATCCCCGTCCCTCCGTGCCTCTTCAGAGCTCCAGCCTGAAGACAGCTCTGCTGGATTACATAAAGCGCTGCCTCCCTGCGGACAGCGAGAAGCACAACATGGTGGCGCTGTGTTTCAGCATGAGGAGGGAGATTGGAGAGAACCACGAGATGGCGGCTAGAACGCAGCTCAAGATCATCGAGTCTCAGCCCTGGGGTGAGCGAGCTCCAGGTTCCTGCTGATCCTTACAAATCTTAAAGAGGACATATTCTCCCCCTTTTCCACCTTTTCAAACAGTCCCCTGTGGTCTAAATGAAACATCTGTGCTGTGCTTTGGTCAAAATATAACATGAATCAAGCACCAGAGGAGATTTGTGACCCTGTATAAACTAGCTCTCTCAGAATGCTCCGTTTTGGTGTGTGTGTCTCTTTAAATGCATTGAGCCCCCCTGAGTTTTCCCAGTAGACATCGCTCCTCTGTAGCGAGAATAAAAATGGCCGACCTGAGCAAAAATTTCTCGGCTGGGGTGGAGTCCATGGGTGGAGATACCAGGGGAGGGGAGGGGATTATTTTTTTTACTAGAATCCCACTGTGACATCACAAGGAGAGCACATTTAAAACGGAGCATTTTTCTCTGTGTTGTAAGACTTATGCAGACCACAAAAAAAGGACTGGATGGGTTTAATTCACATTTTGTGGGTCAGTAGACACTCAGGTTACCCAAATATATGTTCACAAACACTGTAGAAGTTTTTCAGAATATGTCCACTTTAAATTAGATTTTTCGAAAGAATGCACCCAGAAGCCCTCCTCTTTGTCTTTGTTTTTGACCGTGTGATGTGTCGACATGTCTCTTCAACAGTCGTGACTCCGGACCTGAAGAGCTCGCTGGTCAAAGTGTTGGGTCTGCTGAAGGACGCTGCAGAGAGCTTCTCCAAGGTACCTGAACGCCTCTTCATGTTACCCTGACATGCGACTAATTTTTTCAGATCTGCTCTGGTTGAAATAATGAAAGACAAAAAGGTCTCCGCTGGAGGTCATTCACGTGGTCGTCAGGGTAACGGGCTGTTATTGCTGACATGTTACGACCCGGTTTTGTTGCATCCACGAAAAAGTCACTCATATTGTTCCAGAGTGAGTCTCGTTTCTCATCACAAACATCATCGTCGTTTTACGTCCGGGTGGACTTTGATGAAGCCTCACCTTTCGCATTGTTTTTTTTGTATTTTTTTTAGGCTTTTTGTGCCTTTAATGGAGAGATAGGACAGTGGATAGAGTTGGAAATCAGGGAGAGAGGGAGTGGGGAATGCGGGAAAGGAGCCACAGGTGGGATTTGAACCTGGGCCGCCAGCTTGGAGGAAAAAGTTGGCTGCGTCCTAGTAGAAAACGCTGACTGCCACCATCACACAGCACCCCTTTCATGCAAGCTGCGCTGGGAAACACAGCGAAGAAGACCAAGCTGGCGGCGCCACTTTTTAACTCCATTCTCCGTCATGAGGTCATCATCCTGCAGTCAAAGCCAACGATGGTTTACTGTTGAGTAGGTAAAGCTTGTGGAGCACCGGTTTGACTCCTCTGTTAAAGCTGACGATAGACACAGGACTCACTGGCTGTGTGTTTGTACTTAAAGGGATACTTCACCCATTTGCATTAAGCTTCGTATCATTAGAAACCTGGTAGTATTTTTGAATGGTCGTGCATCCCGCCCTCATTTTCCCCTCAGATGGGAAATTTCTAAGTCTGAAAAGGAGCTTCCAGTGACGCAAAATGACGATCTTTGCATCACTGGAAGCTGTTGCGGTTAGCGTGGTGAAACTACAACGCTAGTTCCTCATATTTTCGACCACTGAAGCTACAGATCAATCACAGATCTGTGGGTGGGAACTCACTCCCAGAATCGAAACTTAACGTCTGCCATATTGCTTGGAAGCTATGCTAACAGGCTCTATGGAGAAAGCTGATAATGGCGAAAAAATATAAATATAGCGGCGAGACGGCTGCTGCAGACAGGACAGTCTTGTGTTTTGGCTGCTGCGGCCGCTACTGCTATATTGTATATTTTGGAGAAACTGTAACGATCGGATTTTCCATCTGGATTTATAAAGTATTTCTGATTCCGATTCTGAGTGGCCTGCGGTGCTGTGCATTCTGGGATTTGGTGTCTTTCATCCACATGAGCCAAAAAGACACTTTCTGCCTTTTCTCGGCCTAGAAGGCACCAACTTCAAAATGTATTTTTCTACTACATATATGAACCAATATCAATACAGTGTGTGTGTGTGCGTGTGTGTGTGCGTGTGTGTGTGCGTGTGTGTGTGCGTGTGTGTGTGCGTGTGTGTGTGTGTGTGTCTTTCCAGGACTCGTGTGTGCGTCAGGCCGCTCGTTGTGTTCGCACAGCTAAGCTCGTCGCTCTTCAGCTGCACTTCCTGAACCGTGGGTTAGACGTGCGTGTCGTCAACCTGTGCCCTGCAGAGATGCTGAACGCCGTCATGGCTCTGCCCCGATGCTACCAGGTCTGTTCATGTTGTTTTAAACATCTGACTCCGCCCTCCTCCGACTCCACACTCGGCCTGAGTGAGAAAGTGATGCCGCCCTGAGCTTAAACAACGACAGTGTGTCATGTTTAGACTTAAGTTTGGTTCTACATCGATCAGCCAATGATAGCCCTCGCTCTGCCTGCACATTTTGCTGACTCATCCTTCTTAAATCTCCTCTTGTTTCTTGATAAGTCTGCCTGCTCTTTCTTGTCTTTTATATTCATGATCACGTTTTCTTCATTCTGCAGCATCACAAATAAAAAGTATTATTCTTATCTTTTTGACGTTGATGAGGCCTCAAACGGGCCTGCTACGTTTAGGAGAAGACGCTCATACTGGCTGTGTCTCTGTCCGTCAGGTGTTTGTGGTGTCCGAGGCGTACAGCTACAGTCCGGACTGGGCAGAGATTCTGTACCAGAAGGTGATCCTGAAAGGAGACTTTGTTTACCTGGAGGAGCTCAAACGCCACCGACCTCTGACCTCCAGCCTCTTTGAAGACATTTTCAAAAAGTAAGACAGCTGGTTTCCGGTTTGTTTTACAACACTGCTTCAATCTTACTGCATCCTGTGATCTTATAGTTCTCCTGTGATCTTATAGTTCTCCTGTGATCTTGTAGTTCTCCTGTGATCTTGTAGTCCTCCTGTGATCTTGTAGTTCTCCTGTGATCTTATAGTTCTCCTGTGATCTTATAGTTCTCCTGTGATCTTGTAGTCCTCCTGTGATCTTATAGTTCTCCTGTGATCTTGTAGTCCTCCTGTGATCTTGTAGTTCTCCTGTGATCTTGTAGTTCTCCTGTGATCTTGTAGTTTTCCTGTGATCTTGTAGTTCTCTGATCTTGTAGTTCTCCTGTGATCTTGTAGTTCTCTGATCTTGTAGTTCTCCTGTGATCTTGTAGTTATCTTGTGATCTTGTAGTTCTCGTGATCTTTTAGTTCTCCTGTGATCTTGTAGTTCTCATGTGATCTTGTAGTTCTGATGTGGTCTTGTAGCTCTCCTGTGATCTTGTAGTTCTCCTGTGATCTTGTAGTTCTCCTGTGATCTTGTAGTTCTCCTGTGATCTTGTAGTTCTCCTGTGATCTTATTGTTTTGAGCGGTGAATAAGCGGTAAGAGTTCTGTCTTTTTATAACCTCTGTTTGTTTATTTTGATCGTTTCAGGCTGGACGCTGCTCCCAGTAACTCCACCGTCAACGTGAAGCGCCTGCTGACGCACTGTGACGACGTGTACAGCCGCTACCGACTGGCCTATCAGCAGAATCTGTTTGATGTCACCAAAACGCTGCTGCAGGACGCCAAGACGTCCAGCTACCTGAACGACAGGCTGGCCAGCTGATCGACTGCTTTAGTGACCGACTGACCTGCTGTACGTTCTTTGGATGGACCGATCTCGTCATGGGGATGAAAGAAACTAAAACTGATATGTACAAAACTTGTTTATAAAAAATATGTGAGAAAAACTTTGTCTGTCGTCACCTCTCCTTAGAGCAGAAGAATTCAAATCAAGTAGAATGAGTTTATTCTAACAAGTTGCTTTAGAAGAATTGTTTTCTATGAATTAAGGACAAAATGTTACCATGGTGATATCATGACCCTGTAAAAAAAAAAAAGTTATTAAAGACACTTTCTGAACTCTTTGTATTCATTTCTAAGATTTAAACGTCTGCTCTGATCAGGAACAAGTTGGGATGTCGTGTTACATGTTTATAAAAACAGTCCGTCAGTGCAGCACACTACAGCACCTCGATTTGACAGATGTGTACACAGGCATATTGATCCCAAGAGAAATTCAAATGAATAATAATACTAATGTCCACACATTTAATGCTGCTGATTCTAATTTTTATTGATTTTAAGGAAGAATGTTTACATCACATTTGTATTTTGTAAAGCTGATAAAAGAGCGCAGTCTGGCTTGAAATCATGAACACTACAAGAAACGTTACGCCTTGAATCGGGTCTTTGAAAGGGTCGGGTCGGTGGTCGATCAGCGTCACAACACACACTCGGCTCTGTTGCACAGCCTCTTTGGTGAAGGTTTGATCCATCATGGTGCCATCTGCGCATTCCAGCTTCACGTTTTCCTCAGTGGTGACGGCTTCTTGACAACACTCACACCGCTGCATCATCATGTTAGCTGCAGCGGAATACCTACACACACACACACACACACACACACAGACAACAGCTGTTAATTTTCGCTGTATGCTACTAATAAGCATGCATATAAGCAGCTATTTAACGGTGAATATTGTGTCCTTCATTTAAAGTGTTACCACGTGGATTACAGTTTATGGAAAGATGCAGTTTGGTGTTTCTCCACAAGATGGCAGTCCACGCTGACATCATCTCTTATATTTCAATGCTCCACATCAACCACTACAAAAAGTTCAGTCTTTAACAGCTGATTAAAGTTGTTGCAGAGGTTTGTGTTTGCAGACATGTAAGAGTATGTGAGTGTATTTTGCTTCATCAGCTCTTTTTTTTGTATATCTTTTTCATGGCATTAACGAGATTTAGTGGAGTTTTAAACTCACTGAAACTTGCAGATGATCCGCTTTTTCTCTGTTTGTTTTTTTTTTTGTTCATTGCGCTGCAGGCCTTGTTGGTAATAACCATAGACTGTAGAAATAATAACCTGCAGAGTGTACAGAGCGCTGTAGGCAGAGCAGAGGAATCATCCTGGAATTAAAGCCATCGGTCTCTGCACGATGACAGGATGCACGCGCATGGTAATATCACTGCTCTCAGGGAAACACGCACATGATATTCTGTTTGATATGCATGATCACAGTTATCTCAGTTTTCATAGGAGAGAGGGAGAAACAATGTGAATGCTCGTTACAGTTTGGTTTCTGAATCTCCTGCAGCCTTTAACGTTTTTGACACCTTGTTTCCCTCTCTCTCTCTCCCTCCCTCCCTCTCTCTCTCTCTCTGTGTGTGTGTGTGTGTGTGTGTGTGTGTGTGTGTGTGTGTGTGTCTCTCTCTCTCTCACTTCCCCCCCGAGCCGCCTGTCTATCAGCAGTATCGTCTCTAATGTCGTTAAGAAAACGATCTCATTAATCGGCTCTAATTAGAAAATTAATCAGGAGTTTAAATCGGGCTCAGCAGAGCAGATGAAAGGCTTCACACCAGAGACTCGGCTCACACTTACTTGTTTACTCAAAGTTTATTCAAGTGTGTTTATAATAACAAGCTACACAGGAACATGTTTTTAAAGTAAGCTTGTTAGCACGTGTTCAGATGGTCACCGGGTGTTGACATGCCAATGAAAAAAGGCTGACATGTTTGTCAATCTAAGCCCCATATTTCTAATCATTAATCCCCTTTACACCCAGATGTGTAAACCACCTTAGGTTTGATATGTTTCACTGTCTTTTAACCTTTATATTATTATTATTATTATATTTATCTTTTTATAATCCTTGATTATTAAAGATGTTAGAACTGAATGAACACTAAATGACTCCTGCTCACAAGCTGAAGAGGATCTTTGAAAACTCTAATTGTAAGCATGTTACCATAAGTTCAAGAACGTTTTTCTTTTTCTTTATTTCACTCAGGGAGGCTGCAGTCGTGTTTTAGTCAAGACCACATTTACAGAGACCAGGACATATCCAAGACCAGAGAGCTCCGAGACCGAGACAAGACCAAGTCCATAAATATCTCTGAAAAATCATCATCTTGTGTTTAGGGGGCGTGTCACTCACTTAGACCGTACACTGGTTTAAAACCAAGAGTCCGCCCAGTCTGAGAGCGATACAAGACCAAGTCAAAGTTCTTTTGATTCTAAGACAAGATAGAGACCTTCAAAAAACGGTCTTGAGACCGGTCTTAAGACCAAGACCGGTCTCGAGATCGCACTAATGGGTGTAAGCATGGATACTACAGCGGCATGCTCAAGAGGCTTTCCTGAACCTGTGTCGAGAGCTGGAGATAAATGAAACCTCCCAACAGCCAATCAGAGAGATTCCTCTCACCAACCACCGACACCGATTCAACATGTCGAATCGGCCAAAAAAGACAGAGGGGGGGTGAAGGGTAGCGACGGAGCCGGACACACCACAAAAACTAGGGCAACGACCACTCACCGACGGCCGACAGTCTCTTTGGTGTGTCAGGGTCTTAAGATCGCCCCCCATTCCCCCCCTTTAGTTTCTTGTGGTCCTAAAGGTCGAATGTGTCTGTCTCATTATCATCTTCGCTTTACCTTGATGTGCTAAATGTGTCTCTGCATGTTATCTTATTGTTCAACACTTTGGTCCACTCTGCTTGTTTTTAACGTGCTCTATACATACACTTCAGAATGTCAGATTAATGTGGAGAAGGTTAAATGATGTGGCTTTTCTTTCATCGTATTTGAAGAGCTTCAAGTCATCATATCTGCAGAAAGAAACATCAGATTTCCTCTGCTCTCCTGCACACGCAGCAGCTAAAAATATCAGGGATGCTTTTCCCTCCTCAGAAGAAGAATCTGTTCGCAGCCTTTCACTCTTATTGAGCGTGAAAACAAACTTTAAACAGAGCAGAAAAATCACAAAGTTTCATCCTCCCCTCTTTCTTCCAGCGTTGGTTGTTTTCAAGTCAAAGCCACGGAGGTGCTTCCTGTCAGTCGCCTGAGATTCTCACACAAACTCGTCTCCTCCTTCAAATGCTCTGCAGAAATGATGAGAAACAAGAAAATGTCAACATGTCTAATGAGAGGCGGAGCGGCGGGCGCAACGAAGGAGAGAATTTCTGAGGGACGGAGATGGAGAGGGAGCAGACGGAGCGGGAGAAACTTTTGACTCAATACACTGAGGAGTCATATTTCTGTTAGAGGGATTAAACTGCACTGCCTGAAGGGTGAAGCTACAGCCGACACAGTTTAATAAAAACAAATAAGTACAAACCTGAAACATGCACATCAATATCTGCTTTGGGGGATTTTAAGGGGGGGGAGTTCGACGGTAAACTTAAGAGCAAAGACAAGGGTGGGAAAAAAAGAATCCAGTAACATAAAAAAAGTATAAAAAATGTAAAAAAATAAAAAACATAAAAAAGCACTCTTGAGTGTAGAGAGATAACTTATCATTTTACAAGTTTGATTTCTGAAATTCAAAAGGCATTTCTTATTCTAAAGTCAGACTAATGACTGTCTGTGTGAATTATAAAAAAGAAGCAGGGGGACAAGGACACAGCCCTGAGGAGTGCCGTGTCTGACATCATAACCTTTGACATGAGACCATTCACAAAAACCTGCTGAACTCCGTCTGTTAAAAAAAGTTTAAAAGCAACATTAAAGTCTGACCCGGCAACTTAAAATAAGAGGATAGTCTCTCGATTAAAATGTGAGCGACGACATTCGGCTGCTGTTTTGGGTTCTCTCTTTGCACTACTTTTTGAGAACTAGCATGATTTAGAAAGTAGCATTCCCTCAGTGCTCCATCTGCACCCAGCCCCTCCCCTCTGTGCTCCCTCAGAAGTCACGCCCCCTTACTTGCTAAACGAGCGCTGTTGCTCCAGAAGTGGACCTCAGCTCATCTCTTACATTGTGTAGAAACTACGTTGTCTCATGTCTCATTCAGCAGTAAGTAAACTCACAGTATAAACTCCGTCATCAGTGACGCTCTTTGAGTGTGGGTTAGAGCAGGCAAGAGGGAGAGAGCAAGCAGGGAGACATGGAGGCGTCTGATCGGTTCATCAGATTGGTACCTTGTGGCAGACATTGAAGTTTTGCAGGCTTACAACTGCTACATATGACGGATTCGATTTGTTCCTTTTTCAGAGAACATGAGTTATTAATTTCTGTCAGGACCTAAAGACAAATTTTAACCAAAATCTTAAAAAGTGGATCTGGAGGGAATTAACAACCCTACCTGTAATTAATAAAGATATTGAAACTGTGGGGATAACTGGCTGGATATCAGCTTCATTACAAAGATGGAGTTTTCATTCCTTAGATTTGATGTCAAAATCATCAGCCTACACACGCACACACTCACACACAGACACACGGAGCATCCTCTTCCTCCTCCTCCTCCTCGATGTCTCCAGCTGTCCAATGTTCTCTTTCAGATGTTTTCAGGAGGGGGAGGGAGGAGCATCCTCGTCTCCCCCCCATTGATCCTCCCTCTCCCCTCTCCCTGTGTGTGTGTGTGTGTGTGTGTGTGTGTGTGTGTGTGTGTGTGTGTGTGTGTGTGTGTCTCTCCTCTCTCTCTCTCTCTCTCTCTCTCTCTCTCTCTCTCCCCCCCCCCCCTCTCTCTCCCTCTCCCTCTCCCTCTCGGTGTTTTCTGCTGGTTCAGGAGGAACTCCGCTCAGTTTCTCGTCTCTGAGAGTCTCGGCTGCTGAGGATGGACGCTCGGATCTTCACCCTGCACGTCCTGACGCTCTGCTGCCTCATACACGGTAGGCTAAACACACACACACACTCACACTTCAGACTGTTTGCATGTCATTCATTTTGTTTTGTTAATCAGATTTTAATGCTGTATGTTTAAAAAGGAATATGATTACAGCATCATCACTTCAAATTAAGGGCAAAAAAACTCAAAACTAACCACCTTCAGGTCAAACTTTTCAAAGATTTCGTTTTTTAAAGCTTTAATACATCCAGAGGTCTCCTGATAAGACTGCCTCTCTCTCTCTGACGACGTGCAGGAGAACATCCAGGGAAAAGATATGAACACAAAGTAATCTCACTTTGAAGGAGAAGAAATAAGAAGTTAAAAGACTGAATGCTTCAGGACTTCTCACATTTTATTTCACCTTCATCTTCTCTGGAGTCCAGACGGCAGCGTAAAGTTCTGTACATAAATCAATAAATCAGTAATGTGTAGCAGTCAGACTTGCATGCACCGGATGAAAACACTTCATGAAAAGCTTGATGAAGTACTGCCAGAGCTTACATTTTGTCTCTGAAAAGCTTCGAGAGGTTTCTGAATGCGTCCGATATCCTGCAGGTTAATAACATGAACACCTGTGCAGTACTTCACCTCAAACCCTTCATCCTGGCACTCTGACCCAGCTCCTCCATGGACACCTACGCACTCACTGATATTGATGATGATATTTAGGATGCTGAACAGAACAGAAGCGGGCTGCACAGTGATAACAGTGGTTAGCTGCCTCACAGTGTGGAGGTTCCTGGTTCAAATCCTGGTCTGACAGGAGCCTCTCTGTGTGGAGTTTGCATGTTCTCCCCGTGCATATGTGGGTTCTCTCCGGGTCTAAATTGTCCGTAGGTGTGAATGTGAGTGTGTCTGGTTGTCCGTCTGTGATTGGCTGGTGAACAGTCCAGGGTGTAACCCCGCCTCTCTCCCAATGACAGCAGGGATCTGCTACAGCCCCCCCGGGACCCCGAACCGGAGAAGTGGTTTTAGATAATGGGTGGATGGATCGATCAGTAGCTCAGTCTGTAGGGCTTGGGTTGGGAACCGGAGGGTCGTCAATTAAATTCCCAGGGCAGAACAAGTCTTGAACTCGGTCTGCTAGTTGCTGGAGAGGCGCCGATTCTCTTCCTCTTGAGGTGCCCTTGAGCAAGGCATGAACCTAAACCCCGCCAACTCAGCAGCCTCTGTGCAGCCCTGTCTGTGAAATCTCACTTTAAACTGCAGGTGTATGGTCTACTGGTGTGGCTGAATGGTGTGGTAGTGTGTGTGTGTGTGTTCAGAGGATTATAACGTTAAACATCAGTTGAATCTGTCCTTATGTCTGTGCAGTCTCCCACGTGTTAAAAATCTGTTACGATTTGAGAATCGTTGAGTGTGAAACCAGCTTCAGATTCCCTCCTTTCAAAGGTCAAACAGTCGTTTTTAAAGTTGAGTTTCTCTGCAGACAGACAAGATGAAATGTGTTTACCTGATGCTGCTCCTGAACGCTGAGAGCTGCTTTTTATTTTGAGTCACAGCCTGAGGCTACGTCTGTGTGTGGACACACACACCTGCAGCCTGACCAGCTTTCCTTCAGATTAGTGTGTGTCTGTGTGTCTGTGTGTGTGTGTGTGTGTGTGTGTGTGTGTGTGTGTGTGTGTGTGTGTGTGTGTGTGTGTGTTCTTAAGGTGTTTCACTGTGTTTATATTTTCTCAGAATTAAAAGTTAAATCTCTGACTTTAATATTTCCACGTTGAAGTTTGATGCTTACAGCTGTGTCGTTTTCTTTTCTGCAAAGACTACAACAAACACACACTTCACACATCGAGTTACTAAAGAGGATCTGTCTTTTTATTTCCCCCACAACAACTCCATTTTAACCCCCCCCCCCATAAAAAGTAACCTGAGCCTCAAACAGTTCAACAGAGGCTAAACATGAAGGTTTAAGGATTCTTTAATTGCACCTTAAAAGTTTAATTTGTTGTGCAGACAGGAGAGCAATCGTTCCACGGATACATACCACACATTACGATAACAACTCAAGGATAAAAAGACTGCACAGAATCGACGATTACATCAGGTCATTACTGATCATCTTCAGATTGCAGTGCAGACTTCCTGTTAGTCTTACTCCCAAATTTCTGTGCTCCGTCTGACGGCGTGCACAGATTCTCTTGTGCCCTACTGGAGTGTGAGTACAGCCATGAGCAACTGTACACACATCACAGGAGAACTACAAGATCACAGCAGAACTACAAGATCACATGAGAACTACAAGATCTCAGGAGAACTACAAGATCACAGCAGAACTACAAGATCACAGGAGAACTACAAGATCACAGCAGAACTACAAGATCACAGGAGAACTACAAGATCACACGAGAACTACAAGATCACTCATTCTTGCACCTCTCTGTACAGTTAAGATGACATCATCAGAACCACACTAATAAGTGTCCTGTAAATCTTGTTTTTAAAGAAGAGATAACTTTAAGAATCAGTAACACACATGTGGACAGAGCGTCGTTTCAAGTGGAAACGATAAACCTTTCTGTTACCTGGAGCTGCTGTCAGTTTTTCAAACATCCTGACTGTGACCCTCACAGCACCGACTATAATAAAAAGTGTATCGTTAGTCTCCCCTCCTCCCTCTCGGTCGGTCAGGTTCTCACCCCCTCAATCATCCTGATGAGCTCTCAGCGTCTCTGCGGCTGATGAAACCGGCGTCCATAACACCTTTGAGGCCCTTAAATATCTGACTGTTAAACCGGGAGGGATGAAAGAAGACAATCGTGAGAGAAGTCAAACATCTTTGATCGTCACGTCTCAAACAGCAGATCCACGCCTCAGTTTGTGACTCGTCCGCTGACGAGAGAACAAGGTCTTCACTTCGAGGAGCCGTCTCCGCTCTGGCTGCTGCCGCCACACACATCCGTCCTGAGTTTTAGTGGTGTTTTATTTTTAAAATATTTTTGGCAGTTTCCTGTTTTATTTTGTCGTCCCTTGAGTCTCTCCTTCCCTGGGCCTTTGTCAAACTGCTCTCACACCCTCTCCCTTTACAACTTATTGACAATTTACACATACTTTGATCACCGCGCTCCATCAGCGGCCCGCACTACGCCCTCTCCGGAGCGTGCGAGAACATACAGCTGGGCTTGTCTCCCTAATCGTGGATTATGTTACAACCATAACAGCCTGATTCAAAGCCGCTGAAAAAACGATCTACTGGAGCATTCTCAAAATCTTCCATTCATCCATTTTCTTCCTTTTATCCGAGGTCGGGTCGTGTTGCGGTGGAAGCAGCCGCAGTAAACCCAGACTTCCCTCTCCCCAGCAACGTTTTCCAAAAACAGGCGTCCAGGAGGATCCTGATCAGATGCCCGAACCACTTGAACTGACTCCTTTCAATGTGAAGGCGCAGCGGCTCTACTCACCCTATCTCCACCCTCTGGAGATACGGCTCATCTCTCAAAATGCATGTTTAAAAACCAGCACAGGTCTTTGTGAGTTCATTGTCTGCTTTGACATTTAAACTTCAACACAGGGATCTTTTTTCCTCCCTTTCCGATGTTAAGAGCATTGCCGATGAAGGACACAGGCTGACTCTGCTTTCATGTACTTTATGCTCATCGTCATCCCTCCCACAGTCTGAAACCGTGCCGTCTGACACAGATCCCTACAAAGGGAACTGTATTGGACCGTCCCACACAGTGACACATGAAGTAAATGAACATAACGGCTCCCTCTCTCTTTTTGTTTCTCCTTCTTTCCACTGTTAGTGTTTGTAAGAAAACCAGACACAACCAGCTCCACACACACATCTGGTATGCACCGATTGTGAAAATCAAGGCCGATACAGATGTTTAAAATAAGAATTTAGTGGATTCCGATGTTTGATTCATGACTTCTTTTGGTGTCAGACTCCCATGATGCCAACATTTCTCTTCTGTTTGACGATGAAAACAAGTCAGAGTTTGTCCAACAGGTGACTTCCTCGGCTGCTGACCGATGTGTAGGTATAAAGAAGCAAACATGATCTGCACACCGAGGAGCTCCTGTTTAAAGGATTTATTAACACGCTCTTCCTGAGACTTGAAAGTGTATTTATGTGTGTGTACTAAGTGTGTACTAAGTGTGTAGTAAGTGTGTACTAAGTGTGCTGTGTGTGTTTCTACAGGCTCTCTGCAGGGCGTGTATCAGCGGCGCCTCTACAAGGAGCTGATGAAGAACTACAACCCGTTAGAGCGACCGGTCAGCAACGACTCCCACAGCCTGACGGTCAACTTCAGCTTCAGCCTGCTGCAGATCATGGACGTGGTACGGACACACACACACACACACACACACACACACACACACACACACACACACACACTAGTCATCTCTCTGTAGGAATCCTTTCTGTGATGTTGTCAGACACAGGAGAACAACCGGAGCCTTTCAGGGACAAAAACAACAACTTTGAGTGGACTTGAATTTGCCTCAAATATTCCATTGATCTTGAGGCCACTTTTTGAAGGTCTCCGTCTTGGAATCGAAAGCATTTATTTTTACGCCCCCTAAACACAAGATGATGTTTTTATAAGTGATATTTTTGGTCTTGGTCTTTCTCGGACTCCCCCTGCCTTGGTCTAGGTCTTGACTCGGTCTGGATCCCTAAATGTCTTGGTTTTGACTCGGTCTGGATCCCTAAATGTCTTGGTCTTGACTCAGTCTGGATCCCTAAATGTCTTGGTCTTGACTCAGTCTGGATCCCTAAATGTCTTGTTCTTGTCTTGGTCTCGGTTGGTTTGGTCTTGACTAAAACACTGCTGCAGCCTGAAACAATCTACTAAAGGGATTTCAGAACGATTGCACCTTTGAATCATTTAGACCGAATCATATGAGACAATTTGTGTCCCATGTTTATCTGAAAGAGTCTTGTTTAAACAGCGTCAGTAACCCGCTGCTGACACTGATCTCCAGCATCCCTGAGATGAACCCTTAGATATGCTCTTAATTTGTGTCTATGCGCACACTTTTTACAGTGTAGTAAATATGAAGAAAAACAACAAACTGAGAGAGGATCAATACTCTAATCAGACCCTCAGGATCAACACTTATTACTGACTGATAAACAGGCAATGAGTGTAAACAGACGTACACACACACACACACACACACACACACACACACACACACACACACACACACATTTAAAGAAACTAAATGAACACAAGTCATTCATTCATAACCCACGCACATCAAACATCCATTTTCACAAACAGTCTGCCGCAAGCAGGAGGCTGACAGCAGGAGACGACTTTCATCTCTAATATCACAGCATGCTCAAGCACACACACACACACACACACACACACACACACACACACACACATACCTAAACAGGCACACATTATCAGAGTCGTCATGGCTGCAGCACTTTCTTGAGTTTCTTGTTTGGTTGTCGAACACAAAGCTGCACTCAGGTCTCAGCAGGGCACTGGCTCTCTGCAGGAGAGCTACACACAAACACAACACACACAAGTACACACAAGCACACACACACGCACACACACACACACACACACACACACACACACACACACACACACACGCATGCACACTGATGGAGCCGGCTGGTGGTTGTAGAGATCCTGGCTGTAACAGAAGTTGATGTGAACAGCTGGATATCTCACCTGTTATACTTCATGAAGCGTGGACTGCATTAAATCTGTGGCCTCGAAGAAAAGGTCAGATTCTGAGAGTTGACATTGAACCCCTCGTTGAGTTCATAAGGAGGCACTTTACCCACTTTACCCAGTATTTGTGACTGCTTCTCTGCTAAAGGAAAACGTGTTTTTGGATTTTATCAGGACTTTAAATTCCTCAAACTGCTCTTCAGTGAGTACCTAGAAACTGAAACTGAGCGCCGATATACAAAGTAATCAAAGCTCTCTTTGAACATCTAGTGTCCTCGTACAGAAGATACAAACACACTGATTAGTTGGAGGAATAATTCAAAATTCTCTGCTGAGCACAATATGAACATAATATATTTTGTGTGGGTTCAATGGAGTTTGGTCGATAAGCAGCGAGTCAGCATGAGCTGTGCTGAGTGCTGAGAGTTCAGCTTTGACAAACTTTACTTTATGTGAATATATAGAGAGAGGGAGATGAACAGCGGATACAGATACACATATATACAGAGCAATATATGTCACTCTGCTGGCTCCCAGTTATTGGGTGTCTGATCCAACCTTCACAACAGGGTCCTAAGTCGTTAACTGGACTCTTCTTCTCTGTCGCCCCCCCGATAGTGGAACAAACTAAAGACCCAGCTCTTTATGAAAACCTACCACCCTAATGATGATGTTTTTGATGCTGATTGATGCACATGAAAAATGTGTGCTCAAACAGGCCGTTTGGAGATTTTCCCTTCATGACATCACAAAGGGCAGTAACCCCTCCCCCAGGTGGGTGACACTCCCACAGCTAGGTGTTTGTTCTGCCCTCTGAGTCTGCCTTCTCACCATAAACAATAGGACATGGAGCGAGAAAGCCCGAGACACCCAAACCCTTCCAGAGAGGGGCCGTGGTCAAACACAGCTCATTTACATTTAAAGGTACAGACACAGAAACAGCCTGTTCTGAGCAGGGCTGAAATAGAGGGGTTTATAGGCATGATCAAATACAGGATCAGAGTGGATTTAGAACAAGAAACTTCACACATATGTTTTGAGGAGCTCTGAGACTTATTTACACTGGTTGAAGAGAAGGAGACCTTTAAATATGTATCAAAAAGACTCTCTGGGCTTTATCCATTTTGTGTTTGACGTCTTCGTCGCAGCTTTAAAATCCTCTTTCTTGTTATTCATGACTTATTAATGTCAGATAATGACACAGATTCATATTCAACACAGAAGCAGATTTCATCTCTCGGCTGCTTCAGAAGTGGGAGCTCAGATTTGTGTTGTCAGTGTTTTATTTTCTAATCTCTGATGAGTTATACATCCAGGACTTTCCCTTGTACAGTTTATTTAAAGCAGTCAGACTTATGTAAGTATCGGGCTGCAGGCTGTGCTGAAGGAAACATATGAATCGTGTGGAAAAGCTTGATCTCAGGGGAGTTTTCCTCCAGACTTAATTTAACGCTAAAACCTAAATGAGTTCCTACATATCCAAACATCAGGACGGAGCAGAGACGTCCCAGCAGCACGATATTATATAACCACGGGGAGGTTTTATTTTACAGCAGGATGTATGTTGAAGCTGCAGATCAAAGGGTCTTCATGTAGATTAAAGACTGGGCCCTGTTTTTGCGCTCTAAATGATTATTAGGTAAAGTTGAATCACTGCTCCAGTAGAGAGAAAAGTGAAGCGTAGAAATGTAAAAAGCTGGGGGCGCTGGTTCATTTGAAGATACATGTAAGATGTCTACTTCAGGCACACATATCAGTAATCTGCTTCATCCAAGACCTAAACCACCACGAGCACCCGGGACTGTTCGTTTAAATAGAGATCACCGCGGGGGTCGTCCTGGTCTCTGTCACAGCGGCCTGTCAGGAGGCTGCTTGGCTTTGTTGCCTCTGGGTTCTTTAGTCCAGATGATGAGTCTGTCTTTGGTCCTGCAGGCGGGTCCAGTCTAGTCTGGCTAGATCCGGCCTGTTTTTTCTGGTCTGTTCTGGTCTGACCTGGTCTGGTCTGGTTAGGTTCGTTCCAGTTCGGTTTGGTTTGGTCTAGTCTGGTCCAATCCGATCCAGTCCGGCCCGGTCCGGTCTATTTTCTGTTCTGATTCAAACTGGTCTGGCCTTGTCTATTCTGATCTTTCCTGATCCGGTCTGGTCCGGTCTGGTCTGGCTCATTTCAGTCCACTGGTCTGGTCTGCTCTGGACCTGTTTGGTCTGGTCCGGTCCGATCTGTTTTTTCTGGTCTGGTTTGGTCTGGTCTGTCTGGTCTGCTCTGCTTTGGTCTGGTCTGATCCGGTCTTGTCTAGTTGGTCTAGTCTGTTTTCTGGTCTGGTCTGGTCAGGCCCGGTCTAGGTTCAGTCTGGTCTGGTCTAGGTTCGGTCTGGTCTGGTCCGGTCTAGTTGGTTCAGTCTGTTTTCTGGTCTGGTCTGGTCTAAGTCTGGTTTGATGAGGCGAGCGTACTAAGCCGCCCCTGCCTTGTTGTCTCTGTTAATCAGACATGTTTGTTTGTGAGGACGAGTTAGATTATTAGACCTCATCCTGAAGGGAGGCGGCTTCTACAAACCTCCATCCTTTAATTCTCTCCGTACGCTCAGCTACCTGAAAGCCTGTCAGTGTGCCAGGCATTCATCAAAGTGACGTTACTAATATCCCCCACCTCCACCCCCTCCCTGCTGGAACGCTTCCATGTTTGAAATTAATTAAAAGGGGCAAAGGAAACAGTGGAGAGCGGACTGACTGTAAAACAGGACTACAGAGACTCAGAACCAGGACTACAGAGACTCAGAGGACCTTCAGTTCATCCGACTCTTTCTGTTTCTGTTTTCAGGACGAGAAGAATCAGGTGCTGACCACCAACATCTGGCTGCAGCTGGTGAGTTCTCTGAGCTGACATTAGAATTCTTTGTTTTCTTTTGTTGTGACCTGATTTCAGTTTCACTCCACCATGAAACCTCCTCAAACATCCGGGATGCTGCAGGTATTTTCACTGTTTTTCTTGATAATGTTCTGATGTTTTATTTCTTATCTCTCCTGAATATTATATCAAGTTTTAAAAATCACTAAAAAGAGCTCTTTGGTGTTTTTAAAATCCTTTAATAACTTTGTATGATTCAGTGTTGTAGCCAAGACCACACTAAGCGAGACCAAGACATACCCAAGACCAGAGTGCAAGACCAAGATATGTAGGGATCCAGACCGGATTAGAAGGAAAACGCCTCTTCCTGGTCTTGGTCTCGCCCTGCCTTGGTCTTGCGCTTGACTCGACTCCAAATGCTTTGATTCCGAGACGAGACCGAGACCCTCAAAAACTGGTCTCGAGACCAGTTTTGAGTACTACAACACAATCTGATTGGGGATGTACACTTTCTCCAAAGTATCACGTGCAGTTTTTAAAGCTGACTACAGTGAACAATCTTCTGCAGCTCCTCTAAATCATATTGTACTTATTGAGTCTAAAAACAGCCTCGCTCTGCTGCCAGCTGGCCCTCCTGGATCAGGATTAGAGCTCCATTACAGAATATTAAACCTGTGTCACTTCCAGCCGTTACAGATGAGTCTATCTGTGCCGCTCAGGCCGCCGGGGACGATGTGTAAACTGACTCTGCAGTAACTCAGTAAACATTGATAATGAATGGAAGCCTGCAGCCACATCTTCCCCTCCTTCCTTCAGTTCGACTTCCAGAGAGACTCCAGAGGAAACGCACAACTCCAGCTCTGACCCAGATAAGTTTCTGTGTGATGGAGGAAAACTCGCTCCGAGTGCCAACTTCTGTTCCTGCATCCATGAACACTCCATCCTCTGCTGCTCGCTCTGACACACCTTACACCTCCTGCACTCTTACACCTTTCTCTTATCTCCTCCTCCTGCTCCTCCTTTGTTCACTCGAACCTCGCCTCGGTCTGTAAAAAGCTGCTGCTCTTCTCTTCTGGCGAGCAGGGCTGACTCTGGTGTCAATGTCAGAGCCAACGGAGAACACAGGACTTCATTACGACGGCTCTCCCTAAACCCATTTCACGCAGCAGTCAAGATTTAATTAGTTTCCACATCAGGTCCTGTGGAGTCTGTGTTTGTGAAGTGGTGATGCACTAATCCGGCCTAATCTGCTCCTCTCACATGGAAAGGTTGGTTCCTCCCCGGAGACTCAGCTTTTCCTCTCTGCAGCCCCCTCCCAGGACCGACGAGTCTTTTAGCCTAATTTAATTTGGTTTTTACTTCACCACATCCTGCTCTTCCTCCTCCTCCTCTCCTCCTCCTTTTCCTCCTCTCACCTCCTCTCCTCCTCCTTTTCCTCCTTCCTCCTTCCTCCTCTTCCTCCTCCTCCTCTCCTCCTCCTTTTCCTCCTCTCTCCTCTCCTCCTCCTTTCCTCTCCTCCTTCCTCCTCTTCCTCCTCCTCCTCCTCCTCCTGCTCTCCTCTTCCTCCTCTTTTCCTCCTCTCACCTCCTCTCCTCCTCCTTTTCCTCCTGTCCTCCTCCTCTTCCTCCTCTCCTCCTCTCCTCCTCTCCCTCCTCTCCTCTCTCCTCCTCTTCCTCCTCCTCCTCCTCCCCCCTCATCTCCTCCTCTTCCTCCTCTTCCTCATCCTCCTATCCTCTTCCTCCTCCCCTCCTCCTCCTCTTCCTCCTCCTCCTCTTCCTCTCCTCCTTCTCTTCCTCCTCTCCTCCTCCTCTTCCTCCTCTCCTCCTCTTCCCCCTCCTCTCCTCCTTTACCTCCTCCTCCTCCTGCTCTCCTCTCCTCCTCCTTTTCCTCCTCTCCTCCTCCTCTTCTCCTCTTCCTCCTCTCCTCCTCTCCTCCTCTTCCCCTTCCTCTCCTCCTCTTCCTCCTCCTCCTCCTGCTCCTCCTCCTCTCTCCTCCTCCTCTTCCTTCTCCTCCTATCCTCTTCCTCCTCCCCTCCTCCTCCTCTTCTTCCTCCTCCTCTTCCTCTCCTCCTTCTCTTCCTCCTCTCCTCCTCCTCCTCCACTCCTCTCTCCTTCTCCTCCTCATCCTCCTGCTCCTCCTACTCCTCTTTTCCGCCTCCTCCTCTTCCTCCTCCTCTCCTCCTCCTCCTCTTCCTCTTCTCCTCCTGCTGTAGTGTGTTCGTTTCCATCTGTAAAGGAGGTGAATGTGTGTGAGCCAAAGGAAACGTTTCTGATCCAGGATCTGTGTGTGTTTTTTTGAATGTCAGAGTGTTTGTTCAGCTTTTGGAAATGTTCTTGGCATTCAAGAACTCTTTGACTCTCTCAGGGATTTAAAGAAACAAAGAGAAGAACAAAAGAGAATCAGAATACAGGTGCGAACAAAGAAATGTTTGAATTGATATCATTACATTTAAAGGAGGTAGATATTTGAAGGGAGGTTCTGTGAGGTTCTTGTGGATCTTCCACAGGAGATGCCGTCAGCTCGGCCCTTATATCGAGAAACTGGTCACAGAACCGTAACTGAAGCGAGACTACACACCACTGCAGACTTGTACTAATTTAACAAATCTTAAAGGTCCAATCATCTGAGGCGGGTTTTAAGCCTCCTGACAAACTGTTACATGGCGCCCGCGTGTCAATCAGGTCAGCTACACACCTTATTGTGAATAACTCTTGTCCTTCATCAAATCAAAACTGATGAGTCATCAAAACATTCACCCCCCCGTACAGTGTGTGTCGATCGAGACATGAGCTAATCAGACCTATTTGTTTTTTTCAACCAGGCTGTAAACATGTTAATCTCTGCTGTAAAAACAGCTTTTTAGAATGGGTGTGTATGTGACTTCCTCTGCTTCTTCAGCCAGCCTCTAGTGGACACTCAAGGAACTGCAGGATTTTACACTTCAGCATCGGCTTCATTTTTTAATACCAGAGGTTGTCGCTTGATTCCAACCATAAACAAGATGATCTGAAAAAGCTGCAGAGTCTAGAAGATTCAAATAAATAAATGAAACACAAACACAGAGACGCCAAGCCCTTACACTCAGAGAAAAACCTTATTGACAAACTTTTGAGTGTCTTGATTTGAGTCAACAACACTTCAGTTTGTCCACCTTCCATACAAAAGCAGCACATGTTCAAATGTTTGCAAGGGGAACCTCAGATTCACAGAGATGTAAACATGTAACGTCTGCTTTGTGGACAGCGAGCTCACGGCCTGTTAGGAGACGGTGTTAACAATCACTTAAAGAAATAAACCTTCAAAGTGCTGCTGGTCACCCTGACAGTCCCATATCTGGTCTGAAAGTCGGACATGTTTAATCCTGTTAAGAAGCAGGAACTAAAAATGTCCTCACATAGCCAGAAATAAGCAATAACTCTGTGAGGGAGGATAATCCTGTTAAACAACCTCCAACATCATCGAGTCCTAAACGTGTTATCTAGACTTCTCCATCTGGGCGAGTGTGTGGATTACGTCTCTCTCTCTCTCTTCTGCACGTTTTCCTCTTGTTGCATCAGTTCCTCACTTTTCTTTAGTGTTTGCATGTTTTCTTTCGCTCTCGTTCTTTTTGGACTCGTCCAGCCTTTGAACCTTTTTCCACATGTACATTAAGAATACATGAAAACACTGTCCTCTGATATCTGGTCTGCTTCTCTTTGTGGAGTGCTGTTGTAACTGATGTTGTTAGAAGGTAGTGATGTTGATAAATTGATTCTCCATGTTGTGAACATCAACTTAAGACACTTTCATTGAAGAAGTCCGGTGGCCTCAGTGTGATTCAGGAGTGAAGTTGTAACGGTGCATTATTCATTTGGTTCAGTTTGGTTTCACTCTGCACCAAAACCAGTCACATGTTGAGTACTGTAGCCAGCCACTAGTTGGAGCTGTTGCTCCGATCAGTGTCTGAACTTTGACCCCTATGATTAACAACAGGACAGTGGAAAAATGGCGACCCATATCGCGACGCAGTTTGGCAGAATTTAGATCTATAAAATGGTCTAAAAAAGTTTCATGTCGGCTGTTTCAGGTTAAACTGACATATCGACCGGAGCGATGTGTAACCACACAAAGCACAGGCAAGAGACCTGCAAGAAGGACTGAAGGCTGGTGTTGTTAGCAATGCTAACGTTAGCCATGCTCTGCAAACCTAATTGACATTGTATAAAGGCGGTCAAATTCAACCCACAATGCACTGCTTTTTTGGTTTACTTCCCTCGCTTTGTTCGGATCGCGTTCTCACCTACGACGAACTGAACTCTGGAGCACTTGGAAGTGATCTGAGAAAACCCCTTTTTTAAGCGGACCAGAGTTCAGTTCTTTGGTCCGCACTAGAGTTAGTTTGAGCGTTCACACCACCCCAAACCAAACAAGCTAAATGAATCTCTCTAAGAAAAAAGAAGAGTCGTTAATACTCTCAACTTTGAATCCCTACAGGAAAGATAAGATGAGATTGAAGTCAGTATTTTTACCATTTCTTTAATTGGATGTTAGATGATGCCTTGAACTGCAGATCAAATATCCGAGTCCAAGAAAATAAAATTGCACCAAACTTTGCACATTATGAGAACCTCAAAACATCAAACACATTTCTAAAAATATTTCCTCAAAGTTTCCCCCAAGAATTTACAGTCTTGTAGTTCAGATCCAGAAACTTCAGAGTCTGGTCTTGTGATTTCTAAGGAGCGGGGATCACTGATGCCGCTGTGACTTCCTGTGAGGAGAACATTTGAGCTCAGTGACAGCCAGTAAACAAGACTCGAGGAGACGAGTGTGACCTTCACAGCCACAGAGCGGGGAGCTCAGAGAGAGAGATGTGATGGGGAGGGAGCCGGCCACGAGAGCTGTGAATGTAAATTAGACATCAGCACAGTCCTGATGTGTCATGGCAGCACAGGCTCCTCTCTCACAGCTGCTTCCAAACACACAAAGAGAAAAGAATAAAGAGCGTCGGTATAATCCAGACAACAACAGGCTGCAAGGCGGAGGTCAACAAGGGACGAGCGGCTACTTATCAGCTGCTTTTAGTCAAAACACAAATTGTTAAAGTTTATAGTTCTCACCGAGCGGCTACCTCCGGCGTTGAAAAGTGTAAAATCCAAAGTGTAAAATCCTGCAGATTAACATGTTTACAGCCTGGTTCAAAACACCAAATAGGTCTGATTAGCTCATGTCTCGATCGACACACACTGTACAGGGGGTGAATGTTTTGATGACTCATCCGTTTTTTGATTTGATGAAGAATACGAGTTATTAACAATAAGGCGTGCAGCTGACCTGATTGACAGGTTAGGAGCGGTGTAACGGTTTGTCAGGAAGCTTAAAACCCGCCTTAGCTCCAGCTCTCAGCCTGTCGTTAGGTTGACTGAAAGTTAGAGACAGCATTTCCAGCATGGAGACCGCCATCGATGGAACTCCAGCGCCCCCTGCAGGAACATACAGGGGGAACGTCACTCAGGCTTCGTCCATTAATAGAGAACAAACCATATGACGTATTTTTGTAGGCCAACCCAGAAGTAGCATCGCCATGGGGTCTAACGAGAATTAACATATGGGATTTTTGCATTGGATTTTGGATCATTGCAGAAAATAACCTTGTGATGTCACTAGCGTTATGCTTCAGACGATCTCTGATAAACTAATCCACGTAGCTTAATAAATTGTTTCCTAACCTAATATTTGCCTTAACCCGAAGATTTTACCTACAGGAGACATCACGGACTAGTGAGAGAGTTCCCGGCCTCTGTGTCCGGCGTGATGACGTTTAATGTCCCCGACAACCACTGTCGTCACATTTAGCCACTTGTTAGCAACCGCCTTTTTAAAGACGCGTAAAATCTTCAAAATTCACAAGTGGGGGTATTACCTAACGTAGTTTATGTGGTCTAACAAAACGCCAACATCTCTTAAGCTTGTGTTAACCAGAGAACTTATTTCAGGCATCTAACCACAAACCCATTCAAAATCCCCATTGACTTTTAGACGTTAGACCCCATGGCGCTCAAATGCTAACTTACTTCTGGGTTTTAGGACTCATTCCTGTGGCGCTCTATAACCACAGACTTCTGTTCTCACAGATTTTACAGAGAACAAACTTTAAACTTTATGTCTTATAAAATATGAGAGACAGATCCAGACCTCAACATGTTTTCTGCTCCAGGACAGTTACAGCTTCTTTCAAAAAGTAGTCTTTTTCTTTTAAGTGAACAAAGTGTTATTGTGAAAACTTGAACTAGGCTGTGTTTCTGTGTGCGTCTGTGTTTCAGTACTGGACAGATTTCTACCTGCAGTGGAACACGTCCGACTATCCTGGTGTGACCAACGTCAGATTCCCCGACAACCAGATCTGGAGGCCGGACATCCTGCTGTACAACAGGTACACGACCTCCCACATTACAGACGATCAATAGATGCTCGCTTCATGAGTCAGCTAAGATGTCGTATAAAGTCTTATTCTTGACTCAGAAACCTTGGGGGTTGTGGTTGCCTCAGCACCTCTAACCCGAGGGGTTCCTGCTCAGAGTGACTTGAAAATTAATTTTGGAGTCAGAGGAGTGTTGCATCCAAATAACCCTCCATCCTCCACCCACCTCTTGGCAACATTTCTGTAAAAAAAGGAGGAACAACCGGATCAATTTGTCTCCTATGGCCTGAGGATGTTTCAGTTCACGGTGAGACGCCCTGAACGATGACGGTTCACTTCCATCCTTTAGTTCTGATTCGGTAAACAAGCTAGCTCAGCTCATTCCCTCCTGTCATCAGCGCTAATGTTGGCGTCTCTCCTGTCAGGGTTACAGCACGCGGTTAAAGCATGGTCGCTGCACGCTGTGGGAGGCTCTCTGCTGGGTGCTGACGAGCGTCTCAGCTCATTAACCGAGCTGCGTTAGGGAGAAAGTTTGAACCTGGCAGGAGGTGAAGGAGGAGGGGGAGGGGCTCTCAGAGAGAATATTGACCCGGCTGGCTTTAATGAGAGGGGGTCAATGAGCGCCATCAGAGTCGGACTTTGAAATGTTATCGGGCACTGGGTCAACTTTTACAGTGAACTCAGAGTAGTTTGAAGTTTTCTCCCTTTGAACAAACGCTCATAGAGAGAGAATAGGTGTTTCAAAGTTTAACAGTACAGGCACAGCTCATCCGGTTTGGTGCTCTGGGTGAGATTAGGATTGGGAGCAGATGCAGGTCACCCCAGGTCATGCCATTTTGCAACATAATAATTTAATTGTACACATTATATTGGTCCGTGTGTATGATCAGCTGTAGCCATGATGAAACTTCAGTGACCTTTAATGACCTCTCTGATGTCTCCATGTCATCTGTCTCCTCAGTGCTGATGAAAGGTTCGACGCCTCATTCCACACCAACATCCTGGTCAACTCCTCTGGATACTGTCAGTACCTGCCACCAGGTAACACACCAACAAGCCCCGCCCATTACACTATCGAAGAATGATCCGCCCGTGTCTGTATTAGCATTTGTGCATCTTGTGATGAAATTTGAGAGTATCCTAAAATGAATCTGAATGTAGTCAAATAGAGCTTTCACTCTTTTAGAAAACTCCTTTTAGAAGGCTGAGCGTCATTTGTGAACACAAACAGCTGAATGTTTCTCTCTTCACCTGGAGTTTCTCCTCCAGCCTCCTCGTATTTATTCTGCAGAAAGTCAGAGTGAGCTGATGTGAGAACACAGCAGGATATAATCAGGAGAATTCACCTGGAGCGAGTGGGAGGGGGTGGTGACGTTTATTCCCTGCACGACCATAGACTGTCTGCACGCCACCTTTACCATCTCTGTGCTGTAATGAACCTGCTGCATTATGTTTCCTGTCCTCCAGTATGTTCTTCTCCACTCTTTAGTTCAGATTGAGATTCTGCTCAACAACACGTAGCATTGATATAAAGACAAATATTCTCATTATAGCATCTTATAGAGGACTCTGATGCTTCGTCCAATACTTCCTGGTCGTTCTTATTACCTCAGGAGACCCCCCCCTCCTGTCTGACAGGGATGGTCTCCTTCTGTGAGGTGCATGTGTGAACAGGTCAGGAGGATTTTAGGAGCAGTCCTCCTGAATGTATCTGGATATTTTCAGGAGTCTATGTGTGAAAAGGCCTCATGAGTGTTTCTGGTTTACATCAACAAATGCTTTTTAAATCAGATGTGACTTCATGTGTTCGGATTGTAAACATACTGGAGCATCAACATTGAGCTGATCGCCTTTAATGTTGAGTTCAACAATGACTCCTTTGTCTCAAATCAAACATAAAGACGTGAAGAAAATCATTACAGCAACCAATCACCCGAACTGCCTCAGAGGTGCCATCAAACGACGCTATCAAACCCTGACGGGGGGGGTCAACATGAGGTTGAGGGGTCAACAGGGAGGAGGTCAGGAGGAGTTATGGTCCTGTTGATGAATGACCTGAGACTCATCACGACTTTTAACCAGGCAGCTGAACACTGAAGATATATGACCATTCTTTTTATGGACTCAAACATCAAATAAAAAAAAATCTCACAATAAAGGAAACAAAATGCGATCAATCCGCAGACTGAACACCAGCTGATAGCTCAAACATGACACGTCAGGAAGATGAATGAAAGCCATCGTTGAATCAGGAATCAATAAGTAATAAAAGTCCTAACGGCTCTATTACCTCTGACAGGTTATTGATCAGAGTGGGGGGGGGGGGGGGGGGGTCAGGAGGGACAAAGACCACAACATGTGTTTGTTATTGCATGATGTAGAGTCCTCTGATTTAACCCTGATCCTGATGTTTGCAGCCTCGGCACCATTTCTCTCCTCGTGTTTGTTTCCCCTCCCGCTCCTCTCATAATGAAACTTTCCTCAGCGTTATTCTTAATCTTCTATTTTTAATCTGTGTATCTCCTCGGCTGTTTCCTGTTTATTCTGCTGCAGCAGCGTCCTCATTCCTCCTCCGGGATCATTAAACTTTCATTTTTTTTCTTTCTGGAGACAGCAGGTACCGGCTGTCTCGGGATCCGATTGGATTCCCCCGGCTGATCTTTGCAAAGTCAATAAAGAAAAAAAACCTCCAACATGTTTTTTTTTTCTCCTGATGGTTTTCATGTTTTCTTGTTTACCTGTAAAAAAAGAAAAGCACTTCACTGCTGATGTTTGGAGTTGCTCTGTGAACTCTTTGTCCTCTTCTCTGCGTCCTCATTCCCCGTGTCATTTTGTTTCTGTCGCTCCAATCTTTGCTTTTCTGTCTGCTCTGTAATTTCTGTCTTTCAGCTTTGAAAGCTTGATCTTCTTTTCCCGCCTCAGTCCTTCATTTTCAGTAATTACTTTAGACAGATTTGATTGGCTATTGATCTCTCGCTCCAACTGCAACTCGAGCTGACACAAAAATATTCATCAGCTCTTGTTCAGATCTTATTCTGCACAGGGGTGCGGCTTGTCAACAGGCAACTGCTTGAGACCCCAGACCAGCAAGGGGGCCCCTGAGGGCTCAGACACCTTAACCAAAGAAGTGCCCCGAAATGTGCAAATTCTGCAACGACAGTAGGAAACCGCCCTAAGGGGGTGCCATCTGACAGTACTCACTGTGGTTGCCCTGCTGACCATTGCAGCATTACTGCTGTAGAACCAGAGTTTGTCAATGAAAGTCAACAAAGATCCATCTAGGAGAGGAGAGAAAAACAAAACAGGTTAAAAAAGGGAAGAGGAGCAAGGGTCGGGACGCTGGCGGACAGGATGGTGATGATCGTTGGAGGTTTCTGTCTCGGGCCCCAATCGTCTCTAGAATCGCCACTGAAGAAAATTTAGAGAGAGAACCCACACATGCACGGGGAGAACATGCAGACTCCACACAGAGAGGCTCCTGTCAGAAGGGCATTTGAACCAGGAACCTCCTCACTGGGACAGCACTAACCACTGCACACCGTGACGCCTCATGCATTTCCCTCCCTTCTTAAATTTCTCTCTCCTCCTCCTCTTTTGTTTTTTCTCTCAGGGATATTTAAAAGCACGTGTTACATCGACGTCCGCTGGTTTCCCTTCGACGTGCAGCGCTGCGACCTGAAGTTCGGCTCGTGGACGTACGGCGGCTGGTCTCTGGACCTGCAGATGATCGAGGCGGACATCACCGGATACATCGCCAACGGAGAATGGGACCTCGTGGGTAGGAAAATATGAAGTGTTCAGATTGTTTAGTATTTTGTTCGTCTTTGCTCTCTGATTGGTCCAAACATTTTTGAAACAGCACAGTTTCGTGTAATTGAGCTCTGTTTGTCCTTCTAGTTTAAAAAAAGTTCCTGAATTTACGACTCTTGTTACATATCGAACAATGCACCTTGAACCACCTTGGTTTAAGACAACGTGCAGAATAACCGAGCTCGAGCGACTCTCAGATGTCAAATATGTGATCAGGAAATCAAACCTGCAGCCTCCGCTCTCCTGAGAAAACCTTCTTCAACATGCTGAAACCTGGCTGCTGAGATGTGCTCCCATTCAGCATTAAGGCATCAGAACACTCCATCAGACATGATGTCAAATGATCAAACGGCGTCAGAAAAGTGCTTCCCCCGACACCTTTTCAACGCTGAAAATGTGGGGGCGAAAATGTGCCGATTTCTGTCACTTTCATGAAACCAACAATTGAACGCTCGCTGCTGCTTCTAAAAGTGTTCGGGGAGCTCTGCAGAGACGAGAAAGTAATCTCAGTTTGAACATTAAACTCTCTCTCTTCTTCAGTCTCTTTAGAACTTCTTCTTTCTTTTCACAAACCTTGATGGTGTTGTTGTGTCATAAAAATATTTTGTTGGTTCTGGACTAAACACTGTAAACACCAGAGTGAACCGAAGAGGCAGCTGGAGGAGAGCAACAACTCCTGTCGTCAGAGGTCAAATTAATGCTTTTTTTATCAGAGTGTGAAAGAAGACGTCACCTTAAAGACAAGTTAAAAGAGACTCAGACGTTTGTATTCACAACCTGCACCAAGTCAGGGCATTTCAGGAGAACAGAGCAGGTGTGAATCGGGGTATTCTGGGTTCAAAACAAACGGGAAGCATCCATCTGTGGTCGAAACGTTGCAGATAAATTCTAACAAGTAAGACAGTGTGCGGGAGTTGACCTGTTTTTGAAAAGTCACCCTCCTGTCTTATGAAATAGATGGGCAACGATTGAGATTGAGATTGCAGCTGGTTCAAACGAAGCCGTTGGTGTTCCTGTAGCTGACATGTCGGAGTCCACTCCCTGACAGCGAGCGTGTGTGTGTAAAGCTGCAGGCTCGACCCTATGAAGCCTCGTTGCAGCTCAGAGGTCTGCCTGGTGAGGAGGGCCTCCTATCAGTGCTCCCATCCAGCATTAATCTGCTGCTAATTAAATCGTCCTGCTGCTGCAGTTGCTGCCAGACGCTCGCTGATCCCGCCGGCTGCTGGGAGCGCTGCAGGCCGTGTTTGTATCAACCACACCGCTGACGAGTGCCAGATCAGCCAACAAAGCGTGACCCATGAGTGACATTTATATCATCACATTTCAGCCCGGACTTTCTTTTCCAAAACAATATATATATATATATACACACACACACACACACACACACACACACACACACACACACATATATGTATATTCACAGTGGCGGTTGGTTTAGAGTCATTTCACCGCGACAGGTCTGACACTCTGTGACTGTTTAGCGATCATCAGAGTGACAGCCTGGGGGAAGAAACTGTTCTTATGACGGGTTGTTTTTGCGTACAGTGTTCTGTAACGCCTGCCGGAGGGGAGGAGTTTGAAAAGTTTGTTTCCGGGGTGTGAGGAGCCTGCAGTGATACTACCTGCCCGTTTCCTGGCCCGGGACTGGTATAAGTCCTGGATGGGGGGCAGGTCGACACCGATTATTTTTTCTGCAGTCCTTATAGTCCGTTGCAGTCTGTGTCTGTCCAGTTTGGTTGCAGATCCAAACCAGACAGTGATGGAGGTGCAGAGAACAGACTGGGTGAAATTCTGGCTAAGAAGACGTTAAAGACACTTAAAGACAGAGATGTTCTCTGCCATGTTTGTACTTCCTGGTCTGCTTGCTCTCATTACAGGTATTCTGTCTGAGGTAGCCCGACCTGGAACGGTTTGAGATCAGGGAGGCTCTGACTCGATCGGGAGCAGTAAAACAATCACACTGACGACATGCACTCAGGGATTATCTATGACGAGCCTCGACAAATCAGACAGATCTGCAGTTTGTAGCAGCTTTAAATTGGAACAGCCATCTTAGCTTTGTCCCACTGCTTCTTGCCTTTATGCTAAGCTAAACATGCTAAACTAAGCTAACCAAAGCTTCATGCTCAACACAGAGAGGAAATAATCTTCTGGTTCAACTCTGAAAAAGAAAGCCGGCTGATATCTTCCTCAGAAAATACTCAAACAACAATCTGTCCGTAGGCCGTGATGATATCTTAGACTTAGACCGGGTTCATTAACGTGGACAAAAGAATCAAAAGCCTGCGCAGGTCACCCAGCGTCTTAGCAAAGGACGACCTCAGAGCGGCTGTGGGACACTAACGACGTGCAGGGGAGCGCGCTGAGTCTCAGGGGAGTTAAAGCCTCTTCATTCTGAAAGAGAAAATGAAATGGAAGGAGCAGATAGCAGAGGAAGGAATGCAGCCTCCCCCAGAGACGCTGCTCAGCCAATGGGACGCTAACAGGAAACTTAATTGAAAATCTCAGCAGCATGTTTCCCATTTAGCCCTCCTCCTCCTCCTCCTCCTCCTCCTCCTCCTCCTCCTCAGCAATTTTAGCACAGATTAAAACCAATGTAGTGAGGAGCGTGGCCGTGTGAAGCTGCACTCTGATGCAGAAGGTTAAAAAGAGAAGCAGGGACTTTTCTTCTTCTGCTAATCCATTTGTGTAATAAGGCCAGAAAAGAAAAGTGTGAGTTAAGGAGAGGGCGCAATTTAGGGAAATAAATCATTAAGTACAGCGACCTGAGTGAACGTTCTGCTAACAGAGATGCATTAGTTTGTTTTATTCATCAGCTTTGTGAATAAATAACGCCGTACTAACAAGATGGAGACTACTTAAAGTGTAACCACCACTTATCACACTCACAGCACCAGAGGAAGAAACGAGCGGACAGTACACGAGCAGCAAGACCTGCTTCATCATCAGCTCTAGATAGATATAGAGTACATAGACTCTTTATTGTCATTGTTTAAAAGAACACTATGAAACTTTTTACAGAAGCAATCCTGTACAGCTGCGTTTGCAAAAAGAGGTTCACATGTTATAAAATATATTTGTAGTTACATGTTCAGTGAGTAAATAAATAAACAGTTGTGGTGGCTGAATTAATATATGAGTATTTATGTGCCGTGCCTGGGTAAGAGCACATATACTGTATATATAGAGAGAGATTTAGGGCGAATAATTGAACAGTTATAGTGCAGTGAGTGAATATGTAGAGTTATTATTGTGCAGTGAGTGAATGAATAAACACAACAGATGCAGGGACTGAGTAAATAAATAAACAGTTTTAAAGCTGTCCATTAAAAAGGAAGTAGTGAACAGTTAGCAGCAGTAAAGTCATTATTGCGCAGTGTATTACTGTTAGTTGGAGGAGGGGAGTGTTTATGGGATGAGGAGTTTGTCCACAGCTGTGGGAAAGAAGCTGTTTCTCAGTCTGTTTGTCTGTATGGTTCTGAGTGTATACTGAGGGAAGGGCGGTGAACATACAGCGTCCTCTTCCTTGTTTACGTGCAGACTAGTGTCGAGTGTATATTGTTTTTTCCTGTAGTCAATTATTATTTCATTTTTTTGAATCATAATTTTTTCCTGCTTCAATACTTAATAACGATCATATTTTTAACAGTCACTGAAGGAGAAAAAACTGTGAAATTGACATTTAAAACAGGCTTAGTGTGGAAGTTACAAAGGCGGCTGAAGTTTGGTCTTCCTGAAGGAAAGTCAAAATAAACTGTGAATACAAATGTATCCCGTGATTTATGCAAGTCATACAGCGAGTCCTGTGTTGTTCTCAGTCCCTCAGGAATTTAATATCCTTTCTTAAATGTGTAAAAAACATCTCTTGCACCGACATGACCTTCATTATCTGGTGAGATTAATTCAACTCTGACTTTTTCATGACTTTACTTTTCCTTCTTTCAGGACTCTGTATCTGATGCGGCAGATTCAGTCAAGAGAAACTTGAACCTGGTGTTTTCTTTGCAGAGGTTCCTGGCCGCAGAAACGAGCGTTTCTACGACTGCTGCAAAGAGCCGTACCCAGACGTGACCTTCACCGTGGTGATGAGGAGGAGAACACTCTACTACGGACTCAACCTCCTCATCCCCTGCGTCCTCATCTCCACCCTCGCTCTCCTCGTCTTCCTGCTGCCCGCCGACTCTGGAGAGAAGATCTCCCTGGGTAAGAAGTCTGATCTGTGTGTGTGTGTGTGTGTGAAACTGTATCCATGCTGATGAGGACTCACAGGTTTAGCTGTGACAGGTGCAGCTCGATACGTCTATTATTAAAGCCGGTGATGCTGAGCGTGGACCAAATCCTCCCCCACTCCTCCAGCCTCTCACCTGTGGAGCAGCAACAAAGATCCACACAACAGGACCTCACTCTCACACAAGCACACAGAACAAAACAAACAAGCAAAGATTTCACATGACTGACAGAGCTCTCACTCGCACACAAACACAAACAAACACCACAAAATGCAGGAGAACAGAATAATACAACCAGGACAGGTACAGCCAGTGTTAAAGGGCGGGACATGTTTTTGCACATATTAGGGATTTAGACCCTGAAGTCTGCATAATGCAAGATTTAAAAATGTGCAAGCAGCTCCGGTGCACAGAGACGCTGTTTGCTTTGAAGCACAGTTTTGTATGTTCTTGTGAGAGTGAGCACAGATTTAGTAGCTGCAAAAGCTGAGCGATCATTGAGTGAATCAGGCCCTGACTAATGATAGGTAGCTGATGCAACTGCATGAAAAAAAACAACCTGTACTATCTCCTCTTAAAGTCCCTTAAAGGTGTGACTCCTCCTGTTGTCTCTGCAGGTATCACCGTGCTGCTCTCTCTGACCGTCTTCATGCTGCTGGTGGCTGAGATCATGCCGGCGACATCTGACTCAGTTCCCCTCATAGGTGAGCTCTTCACTAAAAAAGGAGCCATCACTTTATCCTCCTCCTCCTCGCCCTCCTGCTCCATCAGTTTAACCTTTGACCTCTGGGTTTCAGCTCAGTACTTTGCCACCACCATGGTGATCGTGGGTCTGTCCGTCATCGCTACAGTTCTGGTTCTGCAGTATCATCACCACGACCCCGACGGAGGACACATGCCTCAGTGGGTCAGTCCCTCCTTATCCTTCTCTTCCCCCTCCTCCTTCATCCTCTTCCTCCTCCTCCTCCTTCTCTTCCTCCTCCTCCTCCTTCATCATCTTCCTCCTCCTCATCCTCCTCTTCCTCCTCCTCCTTCATCCTCTTCCTCCTCCTCCTCCTCCTCCTCTTCCTCTTCCTCCTTCATCCTCTTCCTCCTCCTCCTCCTCCTCCTCTTCCTCATCCTCCTCCTACTCCTCCTCTTCATCTTCCTCCTCCTCCTCCTTGATCCTCTTCCTCCTCCTCATCCTCCTCTTCCTCCTCCTCCTCCTCTTCCTCCTCCTCCTCTTCATCCTCTTCCTCCTCCTCCTCCTCCTCCTCTTCATCCTCTTCCTCCTCCTCTTCCTCCACTTCCTTTTCCTGACACTTTGAGTTCTTAACGAGAGAGGGCAGTCTTCAGTTTGAGAGCTGATTGGACATTAACATCAAATTGATTTATTAAACAGAAACACACACACACACACACACACACACACACACACACACACACACACACACACACACAAATGCATGCTCCCCTGCTCCCCCTGTGGGAATCTGAACTAGAGGAATTGCATTAAAGTGGCGTTTGGTTTGAAGGTCAGAGCTCTTACGTCAGCTGTGTGTGTGTGTGTGTGTGTGTGCGTGCGCGTGTGTGTGTGTGTGAGGTGACTGCCCCGCTCTAATGTGCGTGTGTTGTATTTGAATGTCCCCTCTGACAGTGAAGCGCTGTGAGGGACCAATCACAGCAGCTTCAGTTCAGCCTGAGAGCAGAATGTTTGGACTTGTAATGTGGATGTAAAGTTGTATGAAATAAAAGAAGTGTGGACATGTTGTTAATGTGGTTGTCAGAGGAACAGTGGTAAAGGTGTGACCAACGTTCAGTTTGAGTTTGATTAGTAAATATTTAAGGAGCAGTATGTAACTCTGACCCCTAGTGTTTAAAATGGGTACTGCAGTCTAAATTCTAAACATGAACTGAACTGTCTCCCGTGTTCTCCTCCTGTCTGACCTTCTGCTCCTTTTCTTCTTCCTCTCAGACTCGGGTGATTCTGTTGAACTGGTGCGCCTGGTTCTTGAGAATGCGGCGTCCGGGCGAGGCGAAGGTCCGCCTGGCGTGTCAAAATGCCTCGAAGCGTCAGCGCAGCAGTCTGTCCAGCCTGGAGCTGAGCGTCAGTCAGGGCTCTCTGCGACATCAACCGCCCGTAACCAACGGCAACCTGCTGTATGTGGGCTTCAGGGGGATGGAAGGGCTTCACTACACCTCCTCTGCTGAACCCGAGCTCCTCTGCTCTCGGCTGATGGGAGGCGGCGTGGGCGCGGAGGAGGACATGCTGAGAGCAGGGGGCGGAGCCGGAGGAAGGGGAGGGGGAGGGGTTATAGGGGGCTTGACCGTGGAAGCGGAGCTGAACCTGATCCTGGAGGAGGTGAGGTACATTGCCCGGCGTTTCCGCGGACAGGACGAGGAGGAGACGCTGTGCAACGAGTGGAAGTTTGCTGCGGCGGTGATCGACCGGCTGTGTCTGGTGGCATTCTCGCTCTTCACCATCCTCTGCACCATCGGCATCCTCATGTCCGCTCCAAACTTTGTGGAGGCCATTTCTAAAGATTTCTTCAGCTGAGGAGGAGGAGGAGGAGAGCTGACCGACCGATCCTGATGTCTTTTGTTTTCTACTCTAATAACGTACAGACCCAAACCAGCAACCTGAACGTCTGTCCCCCCAAAACCGTCTCGCTCGAAGCCCAATGGTTCCCACTGAGGACTATTTAATGTTTTTTTTTTTAAACTCACTCATTTCTTTGATGTAAAACGTGTGACTTGCTTGAAGCCTTCTGAATCATAGCTTACATCTCCTGTGATTTGTTAGATTTGTTGTTGTTCTCGTCCATCTATGTGTCCGGAAAAGCGACCTCTGGACCTCTTGCCAACCATCGTCTGTCATCATCTGAGAGACCATATCTGCCTCTGGGACCGGATGTTAAATCTCTCTGAAGCCGGTGGTTGTCGTAAACAGGCCCATGAGTGTCCTCTCATCGTTCCTCCTCCACTCTGATAATCCGATGCACACAGCAACGCAGGAGCCTCATTCGTCGACAGAGTCAGTCACATAAATAACTAAAAATAAACTCTTGGACATAAATCAGCATGATACAAACTATCTATAATGACAGAAACCAGGTTTGAGGAAGATTCATTTGACATGTATTTGGATTTTAAAGTTTGTCCCATCTGTTAAGATGGAGGAGGCAGAGCTTGTGATCTAAAGACCCTTTTAGTTTTAGAAAACCATGTGATGTTTTTTGGTGGGCGGAGCTTAGATGGTGGCAAACCAATCCTCCAGGCAAGTAAACATAAAATATAAATATAAAGAATGAACTTTGTGTCATGCAAACGTTCTAATACCAGGGTTCATCAGAAGCTGATCAGAGGTGTCAGCGTTACCTGGAGGAGGCTGGGTTCATAGTTCATGGTGTGAGTTTGTTCAGGGGGAGCAGTCGGCTGTAAACATGTCCAGTCTGATTACTGTTCAATCTGTCTGATAATAAATGTATTTTCTTACACAGCCGGCTCTGATGTGTAACTCTCTTCACTCTCAGTGATTCAAGCGAAACGCAGGCTGTGATGACACGCTGCTCTCTCCGCCCCTTTGACCTCCACACTGATAGAAGTTAAATCACTGGGACACTCAAGTCGTTCTTCACGGATAAAAAATGTCAGGATGTAGTACGCAGGAGTTGCTGTGCCCGCAAGTCCACAACGTCTCGGTGTGCGACCCAAAGCAGTCTACCTGGCTTTTCGTCTTTGTTTGGTTTTTGTTGTAGTCAAGACCACACTAACCGAGACTGAGACAAGACCAAGACCGAGACAAGACCAAGACCAAGAGAGGGCGAGACCGAGACAAGACCAAGACCAAGACCAAGACAGGACGAGACCGAGACAAGACCAAGACCAAAACAGGACGAGACCGAGACAAGACTAAGACCATAAATATCTCTGAATAATTGTGTCTCATCTTGTGTTTAGGGGGCGTGTCCCTCACTCAGACCGTAACACCGGGAAGTTTGAGGCCGTAACCATGGGGATATTGTTCTTTTAGAAAGAGGCGTTTTCCTTCTAATCACAATAATGACGTGGAGAAACAGACGATCAGTGATGGTCTTGACCGGTCTTGATTTAAAACCCAGTCTGAGACCGAGACAAGAACGAGTAAAAATGCTTCAGATACCAAGGCGAGACCAAAACTTTCAAAAAGGTCTCGAGACCAAGGCTGATTTTGAGTACTATAACACTACTCTGACGTATTCCATCTGTTGTTTGTGTGTAAATGTTTGCATGGTCTGGGAGGACTATGGGACTGAATCATAAAGTCCTGAAAACCTGATGACCAGGGACAGTTAGCTAACAACAGGCTGTAGACGCTCCCAAAGTCATATTTAACAGAGAGAATCACTCTCATGATTCCCCACCAGCCTCCACTTCATCTTTTGTTATTGTTTTGAATGAGAGCCCCCTGGTGGCCGAATTTACATACTGTGCCTTTAACATTTTAGGAGCATGAAAAGCTGAAAAGCTGACAAAAAAGGCACATAACACTTCTGCAGCATCAGACCTGCTGCAGCATGAGCTACCACCTGCACACACACACACACACACACACACACACACACAGCGCTATTGTTGTGTTTGTGCCAAATCTGGATTAATCCAAGATTTGGCTTTGAGACAGTCAAACAGACGGACAGAGAGACAGAGAGACAGAGAGACAATGAGACGGAGGAGCAGCAGATGTTCTGAGACTCTCTGATTAAAAAAAGAAGAAGCCACTAAAAGCTGATTGGCTGTGAGAGAGTGTCAATATTCTCCGTGTCTGTGTGAATGGAGAGTTATTCTCCGGATTGTTCTCCTGGGAAACCCGTTTCCTCTCCTCCTTTATCGCTCCTCATTTCTAATCTGGCCGGCTGTGGAGTCAGAAAGAGAGTCTCTCTGATATTCACCCGACACCCGGGCGCCAAACAGCTGCTTCAAGCGCCAGCAGCTCCTCCAGAAAAAAGAAAATATGTCCGTTCATTTAAAAAAAAAAAAAAAAGAAGGGCCAATCAGTGAGGGTTTTACTGCTTGATGGCACAGAGTGAATATATCTGCAGGGTTTCAACAGCTGCTCACTTCATCACAGAACCACCATGTTTGGATGCTGCGAGCGCTTCATGTGCCACAAACTGAGAGTTTAAAGCAGCTCGTGTATAAACTGTAAAAGACAATGATGATGATTCCTTTCATAACAAGTCTGAATCCCTGAGAGCGCCCCCTTTAGACTGGAGCTTTTATGAAACCCCTGAGGGACTGATTTGAATGGCGCTGCTTTTGTGCTCGCTAAACCGGGGCAGAAAAGTTGAAAAAAAGCACGACTAGGGCACCGCTAGACTAGTGGTTCATTCCCCACTCTCTCTCTCTCTCTCTCTCTCGCCCCATTTTCTGACCCTACCCATTGTCCTGTCTCTAAATGAAAGCATAAAAAGCCCAAAAATAAATCTTAAAAAAATAAAAAAGACACTGTCTGATTCAGAACACAGATGCAGGCGGTTAAATGCTCCCTGAATGGTGCTGCAGAGCAAACAGTGTCTCTGTGAGTCAGGGATGGTGGTGTAACTGGGAGCCAGTGGAGGGAGATGAACAGCGGAGTGATGTGCGCTCTTTTGGGGCACATGTCAGTGGTCTGATAAATGTTTACGTGAATCAGATGCTCAGCGGATGAAAAATCTTGACTCTTATCAAGATGACTCTGAAGTTTACACAGCTGGTACATGGTTTAGTATAACAGCAATCAAAGCAACAGTTAGCATGGAAACTTGATAAGATCTTTAACAGCCGAGGGAATGAAGCTCTTTTTAAAACGTGCCCTGTTCCAAGTCAGAGGTACCTCGGTCGGCTGCGGCTCTGAGCTGTGCTGCTGCGTGTTGGATCATCTGCAGGGGTTTGAAGGAAGACCTGCTTGCATTATTTGATCCTGAGGCATCTATTGGACCTTCAAAAGATCATGACCCGGCTGGTGGGTAAGGGCGAAAGACAAGAGGTGTCTGAAGTTTATCAAAGAAAACATATAATTTAAAATGACTTATGAGATGTGTTGAATCTGTTTCATCAGTGGTGAAAGAGTGTGTTGAAAAGTGCGCTAACATAAGGAACTAAAAAAACAAATGTGCAAACATCGATCAGGCTGAGCGAGCGAGAGTGAGAGAGAGAGTGAGTGAATGAGTGCACCAGGCCCAGTTGAAGCCGAACCTGCTGATGAGCCTGCAGACAGCACACATCTCCTGCAGCAATCACACAGACAGCAGCAAACCAAAGACTCAAAACAAAGACCCAACTATTGGCCGGGTGGCGGAGTCTTCACAGAACTAACCCATCAAAGAGAAGACCTACTGTCTTCCATCAAGCTTCATGACAGGTGTGAACATGATGAAGCTGTCTGCAAAAGTCAAAACAGCACCTGAGGTGAGCGGCTAAATCATCTTTATTATGTTTTGTTTTCCAGCTCTCTATCTTTGTGTCTGTTCTGTTCTGCTTCAGTCCTTTGAGTCTCTCTAAGGGACCATGCTGTTTGAATTCCTCAAACAAATTAATGAACTGATGCTGCCCTCTAGTGAGGAGTAGAAGTATGTACAGGAAGGCTGTTTTTGCTTCTTTAAAGCGTCTCATGATTACATGTTGGGATCTAAGGTTACAGAGTGTTCTCACTGAATGATCAGAGCTTGTTGAGCAGCTGGATGCAGCTTGGTACAAAGATTGTGAAGCTTCGTTTAGTCCTCACCCAGTGCGTTCTGTACCTGCAACCTGAAGTCAACAGTACAGGATTAATAAGAGACAAACAGTACAGTAGTTAAAAGCAGTAAGTTCAGAGCAATATGTAACTCTGACACCTAGTGTTTAAAATGTGCCTCTTGGTTCAGAGATAAAGTGCAAGAGTTGTGAAAACAGTCAAACACAGACACTGTCCAACCGTCTCGTGTTTTTTGCACAATGTTAAAAAAATGAAGCCAATGCTGAAGTGTAAAATCCTGCAGTTCCTCGAGTGTCCACTAGAGGATGGTTTCTAAAGCGCAGGAAGTCACATACACGCCCATTCTAAAAAGCCTGTTTTTACAGCAGAGACTAACATGTTTACAGCCTGGTTCAAAAAACAAATAAGTCTGATTAGCTCATGTCTCGATCAGCACACACTGTACGGGGGGTGAACTTTTTGATGACTCATCCATTTGGTTTGATGAAGGATAAGAGTTATTCACAATAAGGCGAGTAGCTGACCTGATTGACAGGTGGACGCAGTGTAACGGTTTGTCAAGAGGCTTAAAACCCGCCTCAGCTCCAGCTCTCAGCCTGTCGTTAGGTTGACTGAAAGTTAGATTGAGACAGCATTTCCAACATAGAGACCGCCATAGATGGGACTCCAGCGCCCCCTGCAGGAACAGACTGGTGACGTCACTCACTTGGTCCAGGAATATTTACAGTCTATGGTTTTTTGTCATTTTAGTCACTTCAAACGAAATTAGATCTTCTGGTTTCACATCATTCTGTTTCACCAAAACTAAACACTCTTTTCCCAGAGTTCAGGACGGACCTGAAGATCAAACAGTTTTAAAACATCTCAGGAAGTCGAGTCATGGATGCTTCTGGTTCTTTGGAGGTCTGAACATAATTAAGAAGGAACTAAACCAAGCTCAAACCTCTCATGTAATTTTTAACAGACCTCAAACAGCAAACTTGCCAAAATCACACTGTTCTTTATTTACAACTTCACAACAAGTTTAAAGTTTAACACATGTTTTTAAAGGTCTTTCCTCAGCAGCTGATTAAACTAAACTGCTGTGATGTAACGATTCTCTTTGTCACACGGGCAGGTGTGTCACATTTCACCTGTCATGCTTAAATCACCTGCTGGTCTGTGTGTGTCTCTCCCTCTCTGGGGTTGTTTCTGTGTCTCTCTGGCTGCAGGCGTCAGGATGGGAAGCGGAGTGTGAAGGATCCCGACTGGAGAGGCTGGAAGGCGCCGGGGAGGTCGAGCGAGAGCCCCCGCAGGCTCAACACCTGCGGGACGGAGCGACGCCACCGTGCAGGTGAGATACCAGTTTATTATATGACTGAATGAGGTGGATTGTTGGATGGATGGATGAATGAATGGGTGAAAGGGTGAATGGTTGGGTGGATGGATGGTGGAAGAATGGATGGGTGGTTGAATGGATGGATGAATGTATGGTTGGATGTTTGGATGGATGGTTGAATGGATGGATGTATGTATGGATAGTTGGGTGGATGGATGGATGGATTGATGGTTGGATGGACAATTGGATGGGCGGTTGGATGGATAGTTGGATGGATGGATGTATGGATGGATGGATGGATGGATAGATGTATGGATGGTTGTATGGATGGTTGGATGGATAGATGGATGAATGTATGGATGGTTGGATGGATAGCTTAGTCTCAGTACATGCAGAATACACACTCACAAGTGAAAGAAATTAGTCCACCGGATGTTAAAATGTAATTTGTGTTGTGTTTTTTTTTTTTTTTAAGGCGGTGGAGGACACAGTGAAGCCTGAGAGTCAAACTTTGGATATTCAGTCTTTAAAAAGTGAAGAGATCAACATGCAGACAAAGGAGGGAGGAGAAGAACAAACAGAAAAAGAAGTAAAAGGAAAACAGCTCCAACAAGCAGCTGCGCTCCACAGTTCACCACACTCTGACCGACATGAAGAACAGCTGAAGGGCGCCGTGGGGAGGCTGGCTCAGGGGGAGCAGGAGGCGTGCGGGGGAAGTGGACGAGCTGAGATCTCTCTGCAGTATCAGAGTGACACGCCCCCTAAACACAAGATGATGATTTTTCACTGATATTTATGGTCTCGGTCTCGGACTCAGTCTCGCCCTGCCTTGGTCTTGGTCTTGACTCAGTCTTGATCCCTAAATGTCTCGGTCTTGTCTCTGAGCTCTCTGGTCTCGGGTATGTCCTAGTCTCGGTTAGTGTAGTCTTGACTACAACACTACTCACACACACACACACCTTACAGGTTAGGTGGTGTTGAGGGCTTTGATAGACAAGGGGACAAAGGGATCTTTAGATCGGTTGTTCCCGCCTCAGGGAACCCTGTATCGTCGGCCTGAGGGGAGGAGCTGGTTCTCAGGGTTGGAGAACATGAGATTGCTGGTTGAAAGATATCCTGGAGGCTGCTGGGATGTTGATGGACTGTGTTGATTTTCATGGCTGTCTGTGTGAATCTGTTGATGGAAAGAGGATTCAGATTCAGATTCAGATTCAGATTTTTTATTGTCCCACAAGGGGAAATTTGCATTGCAACAGGAGCACACAGAAGACAAGAAACACAAAGGGGCTCTACGACTGCATGCTAGCAGAGAGTCCTGAGTCTCTGCTGCACTCTGGAGCAGCTACTGTTAAAGAGCACAGCGCTGCGCTTTAATGTGCCGTCAGGGAAGCCTTAACGAGCTGCACGTCTTAACTAGCTGCACATCTTAACGAGCTGCACATCTTAACTAGCTGCACATCTTAACGAGCTGCACATCTTAACGAGCTGCACATCTTAACGAGCTGCACATCTTAACTAGCTGCACATCTTAATGAGCTGCAAATCTTACCGAGCTCTGGGCATGGCAGAGCCACAGCCCTCCATTTATTATACTATGATTGGATTTTAATGTATTTATTTAACCTGGTTAAGTGGCACATGATGGTTCATAATGTTTATTTAAAGATTATCTGAAGACACAAGCACAGCTGGAATCCTCCTGAGCCTCTTTGAGATTAGAGAAACAATTTGTGGAGCATTAAAAGAAGAGGAGGAGGAAACAACAGACAAATTAGAACAACACTTCAAGTTCAGTCTTTGAGCTACAACAGAGTCTGAGAACCAGGATCAAACATCAGCCTCTCTAGTCTTCGTCTTTATAAAGACAGATTTAGATTCAGAGATCTCTTCATCTCTGTCTGCAGGACGATGTGTTTGCAGGAACTCTCCACATGATAACGTCATGCGTGGATGGATATAACATCTGCATTCTAGCCTACGGACAAACGGGCTCCAGGAAGACGTACACCATGATAGGCAGCAAGGAAAACCCTGGAGTCAACATCAGGTCAGAGATATGCAGTTAATAACCTCATAAAGCATTTTCACTGATGGTTTTCAGTGAGATGTTTCCTCAAAGCCACCAATATGAATGGCTAATTTAAAGGTCACATATTCTCCACCTCTTCAACCAGTGTAGATAAGTCTCAGAGCTCCTCAAAACATGTCTGTGAAGTTTCTTGTTCTAAATCCACTCTGATCCTGTATTTCATCATGCCTATAAACCCCTCTATTTCAGCTCTGTTCAGAACAGGCTCATTTACCTTTAAATATGTAAATGAGCTGTGTCTGACCACGCCCCTCTCTGTAAGGGCTTGGGTGTCTCGGGCTTTCTCGCTCCATGTCCTATTGTTTACGGTGAGAAGGCAGACTCAGAGGGCAGAACAAACACCTAGCTGTGGGAGTGTCACCCACCTGGGGGAGGGGTTACTGCCCTTTGTGATGTCATGAAGGGAAAATCTCCAAACGGTCTGTTTGAGCACACATTTTCTGAAAAGTGGAGCAGGCAAAAGATAGGGGGGTTTGGAGACAGACTAGAGACACATGTTAGAGTTAGAGAAACATGGAGAAGAGGATTTTGAATAATATGTGACATTTAATCTACAATTTTAAGTGACAAACATCAGCGAGTAAGATCAACACAAGTGAGAATCTAGAGAGGAGGGAACAACGTCAGGAAATCCCTCTGCTCTTAAGTTCCTGCCTGAAACAACGACCCGCTGTCAGGGGCCAAATGAGACTAATCACGCAGAGGTTGGATAGTATAACATCAAGACCAAGACCAAGACATGTAGTGATCAAGACTGGGTCAAGACCAAGACATATAGTTATCAAGACTGGGTCAAGACCAAGACCAAGAAATGTAGTGATCAAGACTGGGTCAAGACCAAGACCAAGAAATGTAGTGATCAAGACCGGGTCAAGACCAAAACCAAGACATATAGTTATCAAGACCGGGTCAAGACCAAGACCAAGACATATAGTGATTAAGACTGTTGAAGTTTTAAGTTTCTCAGAATCAGGATGAGGTTTCTGAAATGGGGATATGATGTTTACACGCACAAATACAAAAACAGGATTCTTAAAATACCCGGGTTTCTCAAGTCCACGTAAACAGACTCACTGAGGACTCACATGGTCTGATCAATGATTCTGTAAAAGACGAGTGATTGGTCAGGTCAAAGGTCACTGTTGTTTCTACTTAAGGTGTTAGATGCTGCAGGTTTTGCTTGATGATGAACTTCTCTCTCTCTCTGCAGTGCTGCGTGTTTGTCAGCGTGAGTCCGGACATCAAGGACGCCGTGGAGACTCTGAGCACGCTGCAGTTCGGCTCCACCATACGACAAATCTCTCTCGGGAAAGCAACGCAGAACATCAGACCGGGGAAAAACAACATGACTGCCAAGTCGAGAGGAGGCGGAGCAGGGCAGCTTCATCATTTTCAAGAACAGAAAATGGATGTTCCTACATTTTTTTAATCTGGACTTTTATGTAACAGTAAGTTTAGGAATGGCTTCGGTGGATCACTCCAGTCAGCAGCAGTCAAAGAGGCTGTGATTCTGGGGAAAATGTGACATGTGAACATGGCTTCTTATGTAAAATACAAAGTGGATGTCATGCATGCAGGTTTCTAGCTGTGGCTAATTTGCAACCCCTGACCCTGGCTCAATCTGAGCCTGTCGGTAAAAAGAAAAAACTGCTTCATTTTCCTCAAAGGGTTAATTGGATCCCAGTACAGCCTGTTTAGTATTTTTAGGTTTTCTAAAGTTGAGGAATTCTAAACATTTACATCTTTAAATGTTTGAAAACTAGAACCCAGGTTTTGAAACACCTGAAGAACTCTTTCTAAGACACTTCTTCTTTTTTCTTTTTTTGAATCTCTGTGTCTTTGGTTTGAAGTGTCACAGCTCAGGGTTTTATTACTTAAATAAACAGATTATGTCCTGATTTAAGGTTTCATGTATCTGCACCTGTAACCGCCAGTGTCCAGAGTCTGTGCACAGATTTTTCTCCGTTGGATGGCACATGCCCATCCCCATAGTTTCTGAAGTGTGCGCGCAGTCACAGGACCCCATCGCACACAGATTATGTGGAAATGGCTCTTAAAAACAACTTCTTTCATACAGCACAGTTATTCCATTTTTATTCCAGGAAATAAAGTATGTATGAAAGACAAACGTCTCTGATGAATCTTTATTCCTTAAAGAGAAAAATATTTTGATTTTGCACTTCTGAAAACGTGTTCTGACAACAAGTTCATGTTCAAGGTGCATGCTTGGTGAAATGTCAGTTTTTCTGCAGAGCGCCGTCTAAGTTCTTAAACGTTCATCTCTCTCCCGGTGCGAGGAGGAAATCTGTGTTTAGATGAAGAACTGTCCGAGGTCTGTGCACGGTCTCAGCTGCAGGAGTTTCTGTTCTTCAGCAGCGTGTTGAGGACGCTCTTCTGTTTCAGCGCTCTGAGGTTTGAGACGTCCTCTGCGATAACCGGGACCTCCTCGCCGTGCCTCGAGGCGTCACCTTCACCTTCGTCACTGTCAGACAGCGTGCACAGGAGGGCGTCGTTCTCGTATGTGGGGAAGTAATACCTGAGGAGAGATTGAGAGGAAAACCTTAAAATCCTTCAAATGATTACTCGGCTTTTTCTCGTCTTTGCACGCCATGCAGTGTAACGGGGCAATTAAGAAACGCCATGACCTTGCATGAGGTTTACGTGTTCAAGGACAGTTTTTAAAGGACGATCAAGAAGATGTCGCCCTTGAGCACCAATATGAAACCAAAACTAACTACTGTTAGGCCACACCTCCTCCATACTAAAGGCTCCACCCTCCTTCAGAGACACACCTCCAACCCCTCTCCCCTCGAGGTAGCACAAGGTAGTCGAGCACAAGCAGCGGACAGAAGCTCGTCTGGTATATTTTGACATCATGTTTCATAAATAAGCGAACATCTAAAGGCTGTTTCCGATGATCGAACTGAAAACTTAAAGCTACATGTCGATATCGCCCCCTAGTGGCAGCATCAAAACAAAGAGCGGCAGACTGTTTCTGAGAATCAAACATGAAAGTTAGAAATAAAAACCAGAGACGCTGGACTCACTGCGGTTGGTTCCACGTCGACACGTCTGGCAGCTTCATCACGTGACCTTCAGCCACGATGTGATGCAGGACGGCGTCTCTGGAGGCGAACTTCTCCTGACAGCCGTAGCAGCGGCTCTGGTGGATCTGGCGGCGGATGAAGTTACCAGCTTCACCTGCTGGTAGAACCTGAGGTCTGAAAGATTTATTATGTTTATGATGGACTCTCTGTGCTCAGGATGTTTATATGAAATGTAGGACTTTGGCTGCCATAGAAGACCCGGTTTGATTTCAGTGTTTGTGCTTTTACTCACTGAGGTCGGTCTCAATTTATGGAGATCAAAGCCGTGAGCGTCCTGAAAAAGAAAAGGAGGAATAATAATGAAATCTGGAGCGTGACCATGTGAAACACTCTGAGTTTAACTCCTCTGAGGCGTCGCTGAACCTTCAGGTGGGAGTAGATCTGCTCCATCGTCTCCGACTGATGATCACAGAAGAGACACACAGCAGAGACGGGGTGAGCCTGCCAGTCCGACCAATCACTGCAGAGAACACAGACGTGGAGAATCAGACAGCTGGAGACGCTCACACAGGAGGTACAACGGGAACGATTCACTCGTCAGAGGAGGGTTGTCATGATAGCAGATTTTAAAACTGTGCTTCGATTGTATTTATAAAATTAATAGATAGTTTGATTCTACAGCAACAAAAACAAAAGTCCCTCCTGTAACTTATTGTCCAGTATTGAGTTACTTCTTGGACTTCAGGAATGCGTTTCCAGCATATTGCCTGATTAAGCCGGGGTCGCCTCCTCGGCTCTTTGGCTGCACCCGTTTTAGTAACGTGCCTTTTATTCAGAGAAATTACTAAAATGGGCGCCTGAAAAATAAAGTGTGTGTACGTTTAAAAACAAAAAAACATCTCTCTCTCTCTCTCTCTCTCTCTCCCTCCCTTTCACTCTCTCTCTCTGTAATCAGTAAAAGAACGAAGACTGAATCTCTTTAAAACATGTGGTATGGAAAAGTATCCAATATTTGAACGACCTTAAGTCAGAGTATCAGAGAACATTAAGACATCATGTCGACTCACTCGTCTTCGTCCTCCACCAGCTCCCGATCGTCCTCGCTCTGCACCTCCTCCCAGCTCTTTCCCAACTCCTTCAGAGACAGAGGAGGGAGACTTTTAGAGATCGCACAGAGAAGGATAAATACAAATATACATTTCTGATAGTAGATCAAGATGTTTACTCGGGATGTGTTCATGGTTGTGCAAATAAGAGGAGGAGCTGATCTGATATTCAAGCTGCATTTGTTGTTGTTGTTTACAGGTTCATGCACGATCCTGGTCTGATACTTCTAGTCCTCATCTTGTGGACTCGTTGCTGTTCATCATTAATAATATCTGTAGTGATGACTCGTTTGACCTCTCCACACACACTCTGTGACGGCGTACTGAACCGTACCAGGTAGTTGATGACGTAGAAGCGGTCGTACTCCCGGTTGCTGGCGTTGATGCGGCGGTGAGCTTTCTTCCGCATGTGATCCTTCAGCGTGGTTTTATCTCTGAAGGTTTTCTCACAGTACAGACACTGCAGACTGAGACAGAAGGACAGAAAACACAGTCAGCTTCAGTTTCATCTTCATGTTCATGTTCACATCGGGGCCCTGAGTTTAAGACTAAGGCTTTCCCCATGAAGCGAGGGATTTAACCGCTACCTGTAGAGACACACAGCATCTGTTAACATGCTCAGGTGTGATTCAGAAACCTGAGTTAGATGATGACCCGGTTAAATAAGTACCAGCTTCACCCTCTCAGTTTCCTGTTACGGCGTGGAACATTGGTGGTTATAAACAGGTGACTGTTTGTTTATATCTAAACGATGTAATCTAAGTAAGTCAGTATCATGTGATCTGGGCTCATTGTGTCGGGTCTTACTTGTCCAGCTTGTTCTGCAGAGTGTCCAGGAACTGGTCGCAGTAGACGATGTTGTCGGGCAGGCCGATGCTGAAGGAGTGTTCTCGAGCCATGTGGTTGAGCAGAGACGACCTGAAAGCACCAACGTGTAAGGATTATTTTGCATACATATATATACTTCACACATTTTTAGTAGCGATGAATCCATTTCATTTAATTAATTTGTATTTGTGGTTTCAGGATGCTGCTGGTGAACTGGTTTGGTTCAGCGGCGTCAGACATTGAACAAACCACAGACTGCTGCAAAGTTTGTTCAAGACTGTTGCACCGTAAGGCAGCAGCACGACTGACGGCGACGGCGTGCAGCCGAGTGGGAGAATCGTGTTTCACCACGAGATGCACGAGGACTGCTACAGCCCACAAACAGCTGCGAGAGAGCAGCCAGCTTTAGTCGACTCATTTCCCCTTTGTATGACAGTAAAAGGACACAGCAGAGAGCTCTAATGATGTAGTCGCTCTGCATGTTGGTAACCATGTAGAACCCGTACAAACAGGCCCACGTGCCCTCAAACTATCGGCCCCGCGTACGTTCTCCACCCCCCCGACAGGTATGCTGCTGACGTTAGTGTTGAAGTTCTTGAAATCAGTCTCGAGACCGGGGTAGAGACTACTTTTTGAAGGTCTCTTTTGGAAATCGAAAGCATTTTAACACGGCCTCAGACTGGGCGGATTCTTTTTTTCCACGTCATTACTGTGATGAAAAGGAAAATGCCTCTTTCTAAAAGAACTTCTATTCATTCATAATTAGATTCCCCCACAAGGTGAGGATTTTTCAGTGATATTTATGGACATGTTTACAGCTCACACTTTAACCCCAGAAGGGAAATTCAGTTTGCTTCTGTTAAATGAAATTGATCAAATAAAAGTAAACCTTGTTTTGAGTCATGTCGATGTCATTTGTATTTATTTATTTTTTAATAATTTAAATCAAAAACAATCTTGAATCAGTTTGATGTGAAAAACCAGAAAACATGGTTGACTTGTTTCCGCTTTTTTACACGTTATCATGCCGTACTTCTAGCTTCTTAAAGTCGTCAGATATGACCGACACCTGCGGCTGTTAACAACCTCCGACCCCTCTCGTGTGAGTCACCTGTTTCCAGAGAACTCTTCACTGCAGAACATGCAGAGACGATGGAAGCTGCCGTCGTCTCTCTCCTTCTGCTGCTGCTCCAGAACCTCCTCCTGAGGAGAAACCGAGCGTCAGAGAGACACCACAGAAGAAGAAGAAGAAGAAAGGCACCACTACCTCCAAAGATTAAGTGTAAAGCAGCTTTATTTATTGTAATATTTCATACACCGAGGCAGTTCAATGCTTAACGGAGTGTGAAAGAAAATGGATAAGCCTTCTGAGTGTCCTGATTTGGACACCTGATTTTGACCCTAAGGGACAGTGTACAGCCAACTAGCTGCACCAGAGTTAACAATGAGCTACTTTACATCTGTAGGAGGAGTCAGAGACAACATCTATTTGGCTTTTCTCCTCCAAAACAAAACTACTAAAAAGACGACTGAAGCCAGTTGAGTCAGTTTTTTTTTTTTTGTATGTCCTCACCAGTCGTTTCTGCTGCAGCCTCTCTCGGAGGATTCGGTCCTCTGGAAGGACGTCACACAGGAGACAGTAGTCCTCCTGCTTCTCTGTAAGGACAGACACAACCAGTGGTAACAGGAACGAGAGCTACACAAGTCAGTTTGATTGTTTTATATGTACAGATTCAGAACATTTTGAAGTCTGTGTTCACATTGTGCACAGACGATGACACATTCAGGTTGTCTTTCTCTGGAATATGGTTCACATCACAGAAAAGTAGAGTAAAATGGTGAATCTTAATCCTGACTTTCCCCACATGAGGTGAGGTGAGGAGTTACTGACACGGTTTTGATAAAGCATGCACGTCAGATGATGAGGTTTTGCTGCTTTAACGATCTCACTCTCTTCTTCTTCTTCTTGTGAAGCTACTCACCAACTGGACCCGTGGAGTTTGTCTTGATCACGCTGCAGAAATCTGTGACTGGTTGTTCCAGGAATCTCCCTCTCCAGTACAACATGTACCTGAGGGAGGACAGAAAACAGCACCGTCCTCTGTAACTACGAGGTCTCTCTCTCTCTGTAGGGATCCTTCAAATCTAATCAGAAACCTGGAAGTCATCCAGACACCAAACATGGCTCATACTTTGGGAGGTCCGCGATGAGCTTGACATCAGCGATGACCAGCTTGTGCTCCAGCAGCAGGTGTTTGAGGAGGCCGTCTTTCTGCTGCAGGGGGACCGACTCGGGGCAGAACAGACACACCAGCAGCTCTGAACTGGGACTCTGCAGACTGGGAGCGCTGGGGCCATCAGCTGGCTGCTCTGGGAAACACAGTGGCTCCAGTATGCTGTCCTGACCTGAGAGGGAAACAAGACTCGAGTTTAGTTTACTCCAACCCAGTCTGCCAGGAGGAAAGTCCCCAGTGCTCCACGTTATTACCTTCTGTTCTGCATGTAGAAGGTGAAATAAGCATTTTCACCGTGTGTTTAATTCAACTTATCATATTCCATATCATGATAGTGTCGTTTCATCTCTAAAATGTACAAAGTGCATGATTTTGCATGAAACGCAGCAACTCATTAATGACAATACAACAAAACAGCACAGTCAAAGACACAGTGCATCTTGTCATTTAATGTATTTCAGTAACGCGACAACAAGCTAATAAGATATAAGGTAAAGAAGGAGACTTAACACGCTCATACATTTTATTTACGAGTCATCTGGGTGATTGAAAGTTGCCTTTAATGCAAGCCGGAAGCTAAACTACAAGTTAGCCTGTTAGCATCCGCGGCTAGCTGCGAGCTGTCTGACGTCATAGCTGAACCCTTGGAAGCTTATTCGCTGCCTCGTAAACTCTGAGTTTGAAATACGAAATAAAAAATAAACTCAGAGCAAAAAAAACAGCTTCAATAAAGCCAATGACACGTTTAAACAAACAGTTTACCATCTGTACTTCGACCGCAGGCGGTCATCTTCGCTGTCACGTGGTGAAAACAGTGGGTAACGAACCAATCAGAGGGTTGGAAAATGATGTTGTCGTGGTGCGTTCAGTGTCTGCACGTAAACACCGGAGTCACACGATGCGTTTAAGTGTTAAGAACTGTATACAAAAGCCTAAATAAAGAAACTGAAGTTAAAACTGTAAAAAGGTATGCTGATAAGATACTTTACGGATGAATCGATTTATTTTTAATTAATTTAGACTTCAGAGAACCAATTATGATCATAGTAAAGGAGATCTTTGTGAATATCTGAGTAAAAGGGGAGCTTTGCACTTTGACAATGTACTTTTAATAATGTAGAGGATAAAAACAACAATATCATAACATAACATAACATAACATAACATAATATAGTCTAAATCATAACATTGTGTAGGATAAGCATTAAAATACAGCAATAGAAAACAATAAAAACAAATGGAGTGGGATATAATTTAGAGGATCACAGGAAGACTAGACTGTAAAATGGAGAGATGAGTTACGTTTTTATTGATCCCCATTGGTGAAATTCTTTATCACAGCAGCTCTCAAAAGAACATAAATTATATAAAGAAAACGAGGGATAAAAATGTGAAAAAACGTGTTTAAAATGACTGTATAAATTAAGAACTCTAATCCAGACTTTAAACACGATGTACAGCATGACACTGTTCTTTAGATGGTAGCCAATACTTCGATGTGATGCGTTTGAGTGAAAAAATATGTTTGTTTTGATCATCTGATTTGAAATTGTATTTAATTTCAGCAAATTCATCAGGGTGCCCGCTCCATTACATTCACTGGGGTGGCTTTGGCTTAGTGGTAGAGTCAACAGGAAGGTCGGGTGTTTGATCCCCAGCTCCTGCAGCCACACGTCCCATGTGCCCTTGACCAAGACACTTAACCCTGAGTCTGAGAAGGAAAACAGATAATCATTTGTTTACCCAACATTTTAAAGAGCATTAGATCTGGATCTTTTTTCTTCCTGTAGCTCAGGAGCATTTGTATATGTTGCAGCATTAATTTCAGGATTCTTGTGTCATATTTGAGGTGTTTCACATCGAGTGTCATTTGTGTATTCTACAGAATGACCACTAGGTGGCAGGAAAAGCTTTGTCTTGAACTTCATGAAATGAGGATGACTTGTTTTTCTTCATCTGTTGCTCCTCTAAAAATGAAGGTCTGATGTTAAGGTTTTTTCTTTGCCACAATAAACTCAATTACAGGTGTTATAACATAATTTTAAACAAAATACAACCAACGTTTCTTCTGTTTTTTTCAAGTTTCTATGGACATTTTAAATGTTTCTTAACTTCTTCATGCTTTTCAACTCATATAGTCACCTGCATTCAAAATAAATCACAACTCAGACAACTTCACCTGCTTTTATTATTTCAATACAGAAAACTCAAAAGAAAACACTTGACAAAGGTTCAGAGGGACAGAGATGTTGTGTTTTTTTCTAATAAATTGGTGACACCGAGCAAGAGAAGTGTGCAGGATGTTTCAGTTTGATAGTTTTATGTCCCACGCAGCTGCTTCATGAGACATGCAAACACTTCTTTTCAAACACTGAATACAAAACATAAAAAAAACTTTGAATGATGATAAATGTTATGCAGGACACCGAGCGGAGCGCCTTCTCCAACAGATTAGTTTGATGAGGAACGATTCAGGAAACATTTCCGACTGAAGGTGAAAGCTCTGTGCAGCAGCAGCTCAGATTGTGTCATCATCGTCTCTGTGTCATCCAAACTGTAACCTGATCTTCTCCTGATGGTACGTTTGCACATTTCACTTTAGATTTACAGACTTATGTTTTAGCTTTTTACTTTATTTAAGACTTTATAAGTAATGTAAAGGTCCGATCAGTGAGATGTGTAGTGAGTGAAATGATAAAGTGACCTTACTATATGATCAGACATTAAGGAAACATGCTGTGTTGAAGTGCTGGCTTCTCTGACAACAATGCAGCAGCCAGTATGTCCTCCTTCTAACTTTAGATTCTGGTCCTGAATGCTCTGGATTTGTTTGGACCAGAGAAGGTAGGCGGTTTTAAGGCACCCCCACACTGCTGTTTTGGACGCCCCTCAGTTTGCCAGATATGAGAGCAGTTATCAGGTCAAACCAACAGGTGTTGCAGCGATGGAAGCGGGCAAGAGAACTGGTTCAGATAGAAGTGATTGTACCCGACCTAAAAAGCCTCTGCATGTTTCTAATAAGCTCCACGAGCAGAAACGTGCTCAAACTAGGATCAATATTGGAGATGCTTTTGAAAAATGGAGAGAGGTTAGAACACAGAAAGGTTTACAGACCGATGCAGAGCTGGCTAAACACTGAAGCTTCAGTGTCCACCACATGGCAACCTGTGTGAGCATCAACTCTAGAGAGGAGGGGCCGGGGGGGAGACAGCTCTCTACAATGTTTAGAATTGGCATTGCAGTACCCAACTGTAGCTTCAGGTATGTCAAAGAAAAGGCAGCAATGAAAAAAAAGTCAAATGAATAAACTCACATGTTAAATATCAGCTCTCGTTTATTATTCTGTTATAATCATATACTAGAAGTCAAAAGCATTAAAACATGAAAATGTTAAATAAAATAAAATAAACTAAGTAGAAAGAGGGATACATCACAGTCACACTGACATGAATAATACCAAAACATGACAAACAGTTGAAGTGGACAAAAAGGAGTTAAAAATGTGCACGCTAATAATAAAGACTGTTGTTTTGATGGTTTACAGCTTTACATCTTCTCTCTCTCGCTCTCTCTCTCTGTAGGTGGTGCTCTCTCGACCTCCCTGTGCTTGTCCTCGTTTGGACCGCTCAGGTGCGTTCGGGTGCTGCATTATTCACTCAGAGCTCAGCAGCTCTAATTAAACCCCGGAGAGAGGCAGAGGGAGGCAGCCACGCAGGCCGACACACACACAGGTGAGGTATGAGGTGGATTTCTGATTCAGACCACGACTCCCAGATGAGTTGCATCAATTTTCAGCTCAAACAGACAGAGAGAGTTTTTTTGTTTGTTTTCTGTTCAAAACGCTGCAAAGACATCCAATGGAAACAGAGTTCAGGTTCACAGAAAGATATGAGTCTGTGTCATGACAGGAAGGTGGAAACTGTTTTACCGTCTTCTACTCTTGACTCTGTCTCGATCCCTAAATGTCTCGGTCTGGTCTCGGTCTCAGTGCACTCTGGCCTCAGGTATGTCTTCATCTCAGTTAGTGTGGTCTTGACTACAACAGTACCACACACACCTCCCAACGATTGGGGGGGACGTGGCCCCATTCCAATAATTTGTCTAAATAATCCTCATTTGTGTGGTGTCAAAAAGATTATTTTACTGCTGCTGATCGAGTTTGAGCATCCTCGATCTGGATTTTAAATATCAAACATGTTGGATATTTATGATTCCAGATCAGGCTGCTTCTGACGGGATAATTGCAGCAGCCAATGAGAGCAAGCAGACCGGGAAGTGACGCCGGGACGGGAATGACATACAGGAAAGGAACCACAGGTGGATTTCAACCCGGGCTGCCCGCTTGGAGGACACAGCCTCTGTACTGTGTGGCCCACACTACCACCAGGCTAACAGTGCCCCCAAAGGATTTTGTTTCAGCTGTCACAGTATTTTTCATCAACTTAATGACTAATCACTTTTACTCCAAAAGTGTGTCAGGATGAGCACAGATTTAAAAGTTCTAATTTTAGCTCCAAATATCCAAACTTCACATCGCCTCTGACAGTGAGGTCGCCTGGTCCTTTAAACATTACAAATACCTGACCAGTTTGTTTGTTTGTTGAATCATATTGACATCCTGTTCTCTGGTATGTCTGTGTGGCACTTTCCTCATTATCTGTTGCTCATTAGTCTTCCAAATTCTGAAATCCACACACAGCAGAAAGCAGAAACACAGCTGAACCAAACACAGATGGAAACCTCCTCCTCCGCCTGACTGCTGCTCTCCGCTCAGGTCCAACCTGGATGCTGCCAGCGACGAACTGTTGCATAGCAACTGCCGGCTCAGCACCTATAGAGCTCCTCCTGCTTAGAGCCGGGAAACCTCAAAAGATGTCATTATGTGGGCAGAGTCGCCCACATGGGTCAATGTCAGCCAATAGCCAAGAGGACTCTTATTCTGCTGCTGGCTGTCAGTACACACACACACACACACACACACACACACACACACACACACACACACACACACACACACACACACACACACACACACACGCACACGCACACATGCACACACTAACAGATGAACACTGCAGCTGTGCATATCTGAAATAGAGTAAAATAGTTACCAGTGGAAAACTTTTACTGTACTCTGTTCTGTGTACAGTTTACGGTTTTATTGGTGGAAATAAAGACAATGATTCGTATATAGTTCCTGCACAGCAGAAACAAAACTGATGGTTTCAGTGGAATACGATTTCAGGGTGGTTTCACACCAAGGACCCGGAACCGGATCCAAGTACACTAGACCTCGAAGTAAAAAATGGGACCTTTGTTTAAAAAACTTGAACTTCTCCTCCATATTCTTGCCTTGTTACCGGCCCTAATGTCTCATTTCCTCAGCAGCGATTGTGCTGAGTGTTTTAAATGGTGGTTTGAGGTTTGCAGGCTGCTGGTCTGATAATGGTTTCTACTTTCCACTTTTTTAATTAAGCCCTGCAGGAGGATCCGGACTCCTTATCATTAAAGAGCTACTTCTCCTTTTAAACTCGTTTTGGTCCGACTTCCTGCTTCAAACTGAACGTCCCTTCATCTCCAGCTCCAACACTACATGCTCTTCTTCTTCTTCTTTTCTTCTTCTCTCCGGCAGAAACTCTCTGTACTGGTGTTTGATCCTAACCAGTCTTTACTGTGTTCAGTGGAGACGCTTCGCTTTGCCATCAGCTTCCATTCGACACAGCTTATGTCGCCTTTTTAACCTTCTTTTCCCATTTTCTTCCCCTGACGTGTAATCTCAACTATAGAGGCAGTTTGTGTTTTTCTGCAGATTATAAAATTATTAATCTGCATGGTTTAATAAAACAGACTATTTGCAGTAAAACTTGAAGCAGAATGGACAGAGATGGAGTGAGAAAAGGCTTAGAACAGCTGACTATGACTTCTATCCCCCCCCTCATTGTTATCCACTCTTTATGTTTTATGTGCTGCCCTTGAATGACTAATTAACGTACAGCCACCTGAACGCCTCATCATTGAGTGGGTTGAGTGTTTGAATGGAGGGAAAGGGAGCTGCAGACAGCTGTTTTATTTGGCTGTGGTAAAAAAAAAAGTTGCTTAAATAATTGTGATGCGTTTCTTTTGAGCACGCCACCACTCATGTATCTATATGCACATGCATGTGACTTGTGAAGTCCTGGTGCAGTGCTTGCTGTGGCTCAGTTGGTAGAGTTGCCACCTCTCAACCAGAAAGTTAAGGGTTCAATCCCCAGCTGGGCAATGTGTCTGATGTGTCCTTGGTTAAGACACATAACCCTGAATTGCTCCTGCTGCTTCAGTGGTGGTGTATGAATGGGATTAGTTACTTCTGATGGATGATACTACATAGCGACCACTACCATCAGTGTGTGAATGGGTGGGTGTGACCTGCGCTATATAAGCGCCATTTCCCATTTACAGGGAACAAGGCTCCCCTGAAAACACTTGTGTAATTCTAACGCTCAACCCTTCTCAACTGGTCTGCCTCAAGACTCACCACTAACTGCGGGTATGATTTCAGGCCGATTTAGACCTGATTTTGGAGCCATATGACTAATTTTCTACATTTTGTAAGCACACCTGGCCAATAAGTCTATTCGGAATAAAATTGCAACTTTATTCTTATAAATGTATTAATTGAATCTCGTTGAATCACGACTTTAATCTCATAAATGTTCAACTGAAGTCTTTGAACTTAATTGATTGATTTAATTGCCCTGATCTGTAGCCAGTCTGTATCCATGACGATAAACCCGGTAAGCTTTAGGACCCGGAGGCGACGCCGACGCGTGACGTATGACAACAACAGGAAGACGGCACGCACGTTGCTGGTAGGTGTGTTCTGTTAGCTTCTGTAGTTTTAGCTTTAAGTTTCATAGCTAAAGTTTTGTTTTGTAACTGTGGTATGAAGACGTACAGCTTCTCTCCTGCATTTTTCACTGACCCGCTGTTACCGACACGTCGTTGCGTCATCGACGGTATTTTAAAATGTGAATTCAAGGTTAACAGCAGCGGCTAAGCTGTTAGCATCGTTAGCAGCCGGTCACACTGACAGCAGCAGAGTGACTGACAGCAGCAGGGTTTTAAGAGCCTGAAGGAGAGAAACAGAGGCTGTTTGTGTCTGTTTCTGTGTGGGCTTCTTCAGATGTTTGCACATTATTATTATTATATGTAGCTGCTGTGAATCAGTGACAGACACAAACAGACACTCTGTAGTCCTGGTCGGTAGTAGAGGACTTTTCTGCAGGTTTGAGGGTCTCTTGCTGTAATTCAGTTTCACATTTGGTGCTACTTCATGCTCCTACTCTATCACTGTAGAAGGTAAATACAGTTATTGTTATTTTTCAGAAAAGCTGCAAGAGTCGGTCGCTTGATTGTATGATTGTCGAGTCAGGCTGTTGTTAAAACATCATTTACTTGTATTCAGTGTTCCCTGTACTCACTTCCTTTATTGCAATATGGACCAATATTACACTGTTGTAGAATAAATATGAATGTACAAAGATGTGATGACGACTGAGCTTAGTTACAGCATTTTAGCGAAAAAGTAGTAGTACGAGTAGGGGGGGTCTCCAAGGATTAAAATGTGGGAAACACAGCAGAGAGCTCAGGCATCATGAAACTATGTGATGTGCAGGATGTAAACTACAAACACGGCAAAGCTCGAGGGCGTTACCGTCATGCTACCTCTGAGATCAGAACTAGCATGATGCTAAAATCCATAATCAATGATGACATCAGATCAGCTCAGGCGACTGATGATGACCAGTGGACAGAACACAGCGTCGGCACCATCCCGCCTCTCACAGGTCGTAAAGGTCCAAGTGTTTTGGTTAACAGCCAAAACATTTCACCAAAGATAGCTCGTCGTCATTCAGCTGAAAAAGGAGTTTAGAGTTAAACTGAACTGAAATTTGATGCCTCGTTTTCAGCGCTGCTCACGTCGATGTCAGTCGTGGTTAAATCAGGGCTGTCAGCATTCATTTTCTTTGGACTGCGATTCATTCTATTTTGTCCTTTCAGGCTCACCGTAGATAGTCGTCCTCAGTGTCTCCCTGTAGTCTCAGTGAAGAGAGTGAAGAGAAGGACACTGCTGCATCTTTGAATGTCTCATTTGACTTTAACAAACTCTCAAGACAGCTCAGCTGACGAGTCCAAAGTAATTCATAGCTTTCAGTGACTTCTCCAGCGTGGAGGGCTGGAGGACAAAAAACGCTCAGGAAAGTAACGGCCACCGTTGAAAAGCCTGTAGTACGGCAGCACGGGCTTTTAATTTAACATCTCCTGTAAACGACACACATCACCTGACAACTATAGTAAAACTAAGATTAAGATAAACTTTGATATTTGGGGCACTTGCGATACTTTAACAGCACACGGGACACTAATATCGCTAGAAACGGCAAAGCCCGTGCCGGTGTTACGGTTAAAGAGTTACCATGTTAACTGGTGACTGTCAGCCGACTGAGTCTGGTTGTCATACGTTACGTGTCCTAACGAAAGCCTATTTGTTTAGCTTTCATTTAAACATATCTCATAAGTAATTTTGACGTTATGATAAAACAAAAACAGAACAAAGAGGTATTTGTTAGCACACTTTCATTCTGAAAGTCATCAGTTAACATGGTCACTCTTTTAACTGTTAACACCGCTGTAGGATGAAAGTCTACAAACATACAGGCAGCTTTGTGTAATATTGATCGGTGTTGGTCGATAATGCTGCAGTTTCAGAAGTGAAGGGCAAGAAATTCCTCAACATTCAAGCATCGGTGAGTGCTAATTAGCTAACATTAGCTAGTTAGCGTTAGCTAATTAGCATTAGCTTGTGATAGTATCAGCTGTCAATATTGTTCTGGGGCAGTCATTTGAGTTAACGGCAGGAATATTTAGATTTAGGCAACACTATAATTGATGTCAGGATGAGGAGAAGTCTGATGTTCCCCCTCACAGGGGGATTAAATTCTGTAGAAGCAAAACTCGGGCTCGTCTCCTCGTCGGTTAGTGTATCACATTAAACAACAACTGTATTTCATTTGAAAAATGTAAAAATAGTAGGGGGCCACTGAGACCAGTAACTTCTCAGTAGCGTACAGTGGTAGAGAGCCTCTCTTGCCCTCCAGGTGGGCGGTTCCATAAGAGTGTGAAGTCACGTGAAAGCTATGAATATCCACCTTATGACATCACACATTGACCCTTGTTACCGTTCCTTTGAGCTGTTTGACGTCACTTTGGGATCTCTAACCACTTCCTGTTTCTGAACTTCATGTTCTAACCTCCCATCTACAGGAAGGGTCTTACTGTATTTCAAAATAAAAGCACACAGCAAGTAAAGTACTCTCAGCTTAAGAAAGTACAAACATTTCAAAATAAAAGCCTAAGACTTTTGTTTTAAATACAAAGTAATGGAAGTTTAAAAAATGTAGCGGTTTTAAACATCATTCTGCAAAAGTACGAGCTTAATGAGTTTAATTTTTGCTGCTAGCTTGTCGTGCTCTAAATGAGAAGCTCAACAGAATCACAAATAAAGATGTTTGAAGTCGTTTATGAAGCAGACACGACAAACATTTGCTTCCACCAGCCTCTCTAATTTTCTGTTTTTTCTTATTTTCTTACATTTTGAATGAGATACTTTTGTAATGTTTCGATAACGAGGATTCAATCTGTTATTCCAGATATCTCTTCTACAATGCACGGAGCTGCAGTAAACCTCCCTCCGCCGTGATAATGATGTTTGGCTGTCATGTCGCTGAAAAGGCGTTTTGAGCCGCAGACTTGATTAAATGTCAGACGCTCCAGATGTAATCAGAGAGCTGCTGTCCTCCTCCTCAGCAGCATCAGATTACTTTCTTTGTCCTGGACTCATGACGCCGTATGACATTATTACTTTTTATCATACGAACATGAAAAACACAAAATATAGACTCAAATAAACAAGAAATAAACAGTCAGGACACTCAAAGGATGGTAACTGTGAAATATAAACCTCTTTATAACAGATTTCAGGTATTGGTCTAGGTCTTCTTCTGTTGTCTTCTTCCCTCAGTAAACGTTTTCCTGATAAGTTTATGTTCTGACACTGTAGTTTTCAAGTCTTCTTCAACACAGCATGACGGTCATTTAGTTCATTATGGTTCTATTTCCATTATGTTTCCAAATCTCAATGAGGCTACCTGGTAAAATAAAGGTAAAAAAAAAAAAAAAAAAAATTAGAGTCAAAGAGAGCAGAAAGAGGGGTTAGCTACAAGGGTTAGCTGTTAAGTTTACAGTTGTGAATCCCTCGCTTCCTGGTCACGCATGGCTACAAAAAAAAACAAGATGGCTACAGCTGAAATGCTAAAAAAAGTCGTCCTCAAACTGCTGGCGACTTCCACTTCCTGTGGTGTCACTACATTTACAGCTGCACTCAAAGTATGTTTTTATTTTTTTATTTAACCAGGAAAGAAACTCATTGAGGTTAAAAATCTTTCACACAGACAGCGAGCAGCCAAATGTTTGTCAAATATCATCCACATATACATCAGGAAGAACATCTAAAGCCAGATGTATCCACCTCCAAATTTAACTTCCTCTTAAAAGCGTCCAGCGAGAGAAGTTCATTAAGTTTCAGCTCTTTTTGTAATTTGTGCCAAGTAAAGGGAGCAGCAAACTGAAATGCCTTTTTCTCCAGTTCAGTTCTGACTTTTGATACAGACAGTGAGAAAAGGTACTGTGATCGAAGAGTATGAGTCTGACTGATGAAAGTCAGAAGGTACGAAGGAAGCAGACCTAAAATAGACTTGTAGATTAAAGTACGGCAATATTTCCTGGAGGCCTTACTATTTGGGTGAACAAACATATTCTGTTCTTCAAAGTCTTTTTACCCATTTCCATCATGTTTGACTGAAAGATATAAAAACTGGACTTGAAACCAGGAGTTTCTCTGTGTGGTTCAGCAGTGTGTAATGATTCTCTGTGTAAGCTAAATAACCTCAGCAGGGAGGAGTGTGCAGATCTCTGGATGACAAGCGTCAGATCTTAATCACCTGTGGGGGGAACATAAGACAGACTTTTATCAGAAATATCAAACTCTGAGGAACGTGTCATCGGTTGCTTCCTCTGGATTTTATTTTTCGGTGCAGTCGTTTGTGATTTCGCTGGCGGGTCTGTTGACAGGTACATTCTGACATCTGCTATTTGCTCTGTACCCTGAGAGAGATGTTCAGCGGTGGCTCAGCCCGGTTATTTCTGTTTGATTTCTGAGCTGTCAAGTGGCTTTCAGCTCGTATTTGTGTCCCAGAGTGACAGATTGAGCTAACGACTTCTTCACCCAAGGCACAAACTGCCCATTACTCCTCCAAGGTAAGCAGAAACTAGGATTTTTGTTACGCTTTTCTCTGCTGCAGTGGCCTAAAAAAAAACCTCGTCTGATGTTCTGCATGAGAGACAAATCCCATTTGCGTTCGTGGCAGAGGGCCCGATCCTCCCGGCTTACAGTCAACACTGACACCCGTCCATTAATCACCTTAGTTTAGGTTGAGCGAGTGAGCTCGGTTGTGGCCATCATGCACGCTGAGGTTTGGCGGTCTGGAGAAGAATAAATATTTGGTGATGATGTTAAAGATGTTATCTGGAGTTTGTCCCATTTCAAAAAAGTACCAAAAGTCAGATCAAATGTCTCGCTAACAGAGAGGAGGAGAGAGGACATCATCAGGAGGTATTTCTGAAATCTGTTCATGTTTCCTACAAGGTGAATCCGGATCCTTTCAGGGACCTAGGAAATGTTCAGACTGGGAAAGAATAATGGCGCGGTTTGGACCTCAGATGTTACAAAACATTTGACAGATCCAATCAA